GTTAGTGCACTGCTAGAGAAATAACTTCTGTCCTTCAATGCTCTTTTCTATCTATACAAATAGCGTATGCACACACACTCAAATGAGATTAAACTGAAAGAAGTGACGAGATGTGTTTAGATAAACCAAGTGAGCTGAATGTGGATACTCTTATTTCAGTGGATTGGATGAATAACTGATACTGAAGAGGGACAGTCAGAGTTAGAGGGAGGAATCCACGTGCAGCAGCTGTACTACTGCCTGCCCCATTTCAAGTTACCTAAGTACAATGTTTGTACAGGGATTTGGTGGATGATCCCAAAGTACCTCCTTGCAAATGGCTGTTCTTCCACTGCACTTTGGCTGCTGGTAGGTTTTTGGGAGGGCACGGTAACTCGATCCAATGCGTTTGCAGGAAGCATAATCTATTTCCCGGCTCATTCCATCCCCAGATCGGTCACTCAGTGGAGAAGCAAACGAAAGCTCTTTCACACCAAGGAAGGACTTGAACTGTGCAAACAGCTCTGGAAATTTCCTTCAAAAACACAAATAAGCATGACCTGTGTTATTTCATTCTGATGGTTTTAGAGTGGCTAATACTCATCATAAAAGTGAGAAATCGAAATAAACTCCTCCCCAAAATGCTCCTCAAGAGCTGTGTAGATATGTTAACGATTCCAGTTTTACTATTTCTCTTTGTGAATTAGCTCTGCATTGCTGGCATGCTACCTAGAAGGTATTTCTGATGTTGAATTCAAAGCTTCAGTGACAAAGTTCACAGCGCCTACCAAAAATTAACAGAGCAAGGCTAAAAAAGGCCAATGCAGCAGAGATGGCAATCAGTAACTCACCCTAAAAATGGCGTCACTAGCTGGAGCAGCTCAGAGCCAGAGACCAACTCCTGGTTGAAGAGAGCAATGCAACGGAGAAAATTTTCGTAGACTTCCTGACTTTTGAGCACTCTGCGCACCTACAGACAGTTTGGAAAGAAATCACTGAACCACGTGGATGCCACTTTTAATTACTGTTCATATTCTAAGGAGTCTGAACCACAGGAGACCAACCTCTATTTGCATTGCAACATAAAAAGAGAACATTCCCCAACAGTCTGAGTTTCAAACAATAGTTCAGTGGCTGCATATAGTTACTATGAGGAAATACTGCTGAAAAGCACAGAAAAACATCCGTGTTAGAGACAAGCATTCAGGAAAAGGTTAATGATCAGCTTCCATGCTTCCAAAACCATCTATTTTCTTTTTTCTGCCACTTGAAGTCAGGCAATTGCTAAATGCTGATGCACAGATTAAATAAAAAATGAACCAAATAATAACCCCACTGGTTTAAAGTAAGCCCACAGAGTGAGAACAGGCCAAGTACTGACCTTGTCAAAGAATGAAAACTCCTGCAGCGTTCCATATTTTCCCACTGTTGCTACTGACAGATCTTTGGTACCTCTCAGTTTCATTTTCTTCTGTTAAAAGAACAATTATATATATATATGTCATTCAAATGCTATCAAACTCCACTTTGCTGACACAGAACAGCTCTCTGCAAAGACTGATCATCGTTATTTCCCAAAGAGCAACCTAGCACTGCTGTGTCAAGTCCTCCACAGCAATTTCTATCAGAGGGCTCCTGGCTAAGGAGGAAGATCGCTTCAGGAACAATTCCAAAGGTTCCTTTAAAGAAGCAATGAATTTGCCCTTCTGGGGACCAATATTCTGCATCTAAGGGCTTGATACTCGTATACAACATGCTACCGTATACATTTTAGAATTCTGAAAGTTGCTTTCCTTGCAGATTATTATTTATAAAATAGTTTTGATTTTTTTTTTCCTTGTACCTAACCTACATACTTCAAAGTCACCACTCATTACAACTTCACCCAAGGAATTACATAAACAAAATGAGTAATGTGAGGTCACTTGCAGAGAGATACCTTTGCTGGGCCAGAAACAGGACGCAACAGCAGCGGTCTGGATCGCTTTTTGCTGTGTTCAAGATTCTTTTCATGCTCAGTTTTCTGGACACTGTTCACTTCACATGGTCCATTTCCTGTGAACTGAAGAAAATGAATAATTGTTTCAATGCTCTCTCCTCAGTCTGTACAAATATCCTGCTTATCTGAACAGAGAGCAAGTAATTAAGTGACCTGTTTTGCGAAATTCCAAGCAGTGAAGAGAAGTGAATTTCATCTACTGGCTGTGTGTTTTTCTGTAATGCATTCTATATATAAACAGGCAGCATTAAATATTCTCCTTGCTTTAAGCATACACATACCAAAGACCTTTTAGCCTCTGGAAGAAACTGTCCAAACTCAGAGAGCAGATCCTCCTGTCCTCTGAACAGATTTGCTACTTCAGTAAACACTTCTTCCTCTGACATGCCCCGGAAGGGTCGACCTTTAGTGTTAAGCTGTTCTTTCTGAAAAGATAAGCACAGATGTTAAACAGATACAAACACAAAAAAAAAAGCAACACGAACTTCACAGAACTATCAGACAGTCCAAGGCTTCTATCACACAGGATATCACAACATCAGCTGAGAGTTAGTGAAGACAGATCCACATACAACCCCTTAGCACCTCAGTGCCCAGGACGTTCAACAGTTTTCACACTTCTGTCATTTCATTTGATAGCTGTTCAAGCAGCCACACCACAAACCCACAATCTACCTTACTTTGAAGGCTTTTTACCTGGTAAGTATGAAGAATTTCTAAAAAGGATCTGTAAATTTCTGGGTGGTCAAGGAAGCGAGTTTTGATCTTATTCACGTAACTGATGGCATTATTGAACTCTACAGAATCAGACTCCAAAGGAATTTGGGATTTGTCTTCTTTGTATGGAAGCTGATGCCTGAACTCCTCGGTGCAGTCACTGTGGTTGTGTGAATTCTCCTGTGAGTAATGCAACAACAGCCCGCTGCCAGGGAGGGCACTGGGAACAGCCTCTGAGGGCACCTAGTGGCATAAGACATACAAGACAGTGACTTGTGCTGAAACACAGGTGCAACTACATCCTAGCATCAATATTTTAAATCTGTTTAGCTAAAAGAGATTACCACGTGAAGAAATAAGGGGGAAAAAAGATTTAATTTGATAATACATTTCCTTACCTGCGTTATTAACACCATGAGTTAAAAAACAAACAAACCCATAAACCATATCTGACTTGGTAAACAATCTGACTCATTGCTGCTTATGACTGTCCCTGCATTATCCGCACTTGAGAGGTTGTACCAGGTAACGTGTGCTGCAGTTTCTGTTACCACTGTTCTATTTCAGAGGAACTGTCAGTTTTAAGAAACATATTAAAATGTAAGGCTCCAAGAAGCAAAATTTGTAAGCAACAGAGAGATCTAAAAGATATGTACTGCTACTAATTAGCATTAAACCACAACTTTATCAGAAGAATTCAGCTATAGCTCTATTTCAGCCTCCACAACCTCACATAACACAATAACAACAAAAGGAAGAGGCCAATATTTATCCAACAGCAGATGTCTCCCACTGCAGGATGGTAGCGATTGCATGGCAACACCTCACATGCATTCAGGCAATGGACAAAAAATGAACCAAATAATAACCACACTGGTAGTTTAAAGTAAGCCCACAGTGTGAGAACCAATGTGTGAGGCCAAATACATTTCTCAGTTGCTCACTGAAGACTGGAAGTACAGTTCTCCCAGGATGTTTGTTTAGACGTGTCCCTGCCCATCGTACATTGAGAGTCTGTGCAACAGTCCAAGCCAATTAAAATCTCAGTTTTCGAATCTGATGGGAGTATTTGGAGTTGCAGTGGCACTTCATGCAGGAACATCGCTCCAGTGCAAGCTGAGCTAATAACTGGTTTGAGAATAAACGTTCAAATTTACACTGTAGCCATTACCACATCTTAAAAACTACGTCAGAACTTTAGCAGTGTGCAATACATGCAAATGTACACAGCCTAAACTGTGCAGGTGTATGGGAACTGCTGAGTCACGGCCTGAACCTCTGATTGATCACCTGAGGCGAGCCGTGAGTCAGCCAGAGGAGCACAGGTGAAGGCAATTCAATTCACCTGTGCTGCCGGAAGGGGTGGAGCCAGGCTGCACCCCTCCTAGACCTATTGAAGAGCTGGCTGCCAGTGGGGAAGGATCTCATCTGGAGATCTGCTCTGCTGGTGTTTTGTGGTGAGCTCAGCAGAAGGGTAAGCCTTCCATTTATTCTCTCTTGTTATCATAGTTCACTTCGCCTAACTCTCTTGTTTATTTTGTGATTGTAACATCTTGATATCCATTGATTATACAGTAGGAGATGTGCACAGCAATATATTAACAGGATTTACTTGGAGTACTATGAGCTTTATAACCTACCTGACTAGTCAGTGGTGACTGTATACTTAACTTCCCATTCTTTGGAATTTCTATTCTGTATCCCAGAGGGAGGAAAGCATTGAATCCTACAATGAGGTCGGGGTGTTCATGGAACAGCTGTGAAACGCGTCGGATGACTCCGGGTGTGTCAATGCTAAAATTGAGAAGAATTTGTTACTTGTGCCTACATCAGAAATACAACTCAAGCCCAGAAAAGTACAGAGGTAGGTGAAGCATGTGGCTTCTCACAGATAGCATTCTCAACAAGAAAGTCTGGGAACTTCAGACCTAGGAACAGGCCCAGGCAGAGGGAAGAACCACCACCTACTGCAGCCTCCTACTGGGAGTGTTCTCCAGATAGAAGAACGTACAGGTTGCCCAAAGTGGGCACCACGCAAGGGCTGAGAGCTCTGAGCAACAAAAGTCTTCATCTGTGTTTCAGAGAGGGTTATAAAAAAAACAAAACAAACAAAAAAAAAAAAAAACAAAAAAAAAAAAAACAGATTGTTCTTTCCCCGTGGATTTCTGCTCTGGTAAACAAGGAAGCAGGCAGCAGTGGGATGAACGCCTCCTCCCTCATCTCCAGCGTGTAACAACTGGGCCAGCAGGGACAGTAGAACCTCGGGGTGAAGGCTGGGGAAGCCCCCAGGGCAGAGACGGCCCCGGGCCGGGCGTTACCTCTGGCTTTTGAACTCCTTCATGATCTCCAGGAAGCCGTTGTAGGTGGCCGGGTCGCTGCCGAAGCGGATCTTCACCTGGTCCAGGTAGGAGAGCGCATCCTCCACCTGCGGGCGGGACGATGCTGAGGGCCGGGGCGCGGCGGGGCCCCACAGCTGACACCGCGACGAGAGCACCGGAGAGACAGGACAGATCCCGGGGGAACGGCGCGGTGCCGGGGGGGGCTGAGGGGACGGATGGAGGGCCGGGGAGCCGCGGTAACGGGGCCGGGGAACGGGGGAGGAAGGCGGGGGCGCCCCGCGGCCCCGGGGGCGGGTTCGGCAAAGGGCCGGGGCGGGGCGGGCAGGGCCGCTCTCCGTCGCCCTCCGCGGGGACGGGGACGAATCCCGGCGGGCCGCGCTCCGCACTCACGTGCACCGGCAGCTTCTCCTGCGCCGCGGCCCGGCCGCCGCCGCCCCAGCGCGGGGCGCTGCCCCCCCGGCCGCCGCCGCCGCCCCCCGCCGCCATGTTGGGAACCGCCGCCGCCGCCGCGCGCCCCCCGTCAGCGCGTGCGGAGCGTCTGCGTCAGCGCGCACGGCGCCGCGGCCCGGCCCGGCCCGGAGCGGAACCTTCGCGGCCGCCGTCGGCGGCGCCGCCCGCACCGCGCGCCGCTTCCGGTCCTTCGAGCGGCCCGGCGGGAGCGGCGCCTCCGGCGGCGGTGAGCCCCGAATGGGGCCGAGCGACGGACGGGGCTGCGGGGGCTGAGCGGTGCGGCACCGCGCCGGGGATCGGCGGGAAACGTCGGGGACGGGAGCCTGAGGCCGTCGCGGTGGCCGCTCGTGTTGGGCTGCGATTACAGGGCGCGAACGGGGCTCCGGCGCCCGCTGCGGCATTTTGGCTCAAACGCCGTTTTTATTCGTTTTGGCTGTTTTTTTTACGCGCTCGTTCTGCGGTACGTGGCAGCGGCGCAGTGCGGGACCTGCGGGTGTTGTGGATGAAGCGCGTCTTTCTGAGGCAGGACGGGACGGCAGCGGCCGTGTGTGCCGTTTATTTTACAGCCGTGGGACAGCTTGCTGGTACAAACCAGGCTCCCAGAAGGGTTGCCGTGGTCACACTGCTGTGTACTGCGGTTCTTCTCGTCCCTCTCTCTGCACTCAGTGCTGAGGAGTGGCTCTGAGGGTCAGCAGAACCTCTCACAGATGCTGTGACCCAGCCCCGAGATGTGCACGCACTGCACCGCCTGCAGGGCCAGGCACAGAGTAAAGGGCTTGAAGCGCGTCCCCGGCTTTGGGCTTCCCTTAAGGCACTTCCTCTGCTTCCCTTCTCAGCAGACAATGGCACTCTGTTGAATTGGATCGCTGCTGCTACGTGAGAGGGAGAGGGGAACTGATAAGCCATGCTCTCTGTTTCTCCTCCGGACACCATAGATGATGTCTCATAGAGACCTTGGACTTGGAGTGCCATAAATCCTGTCGATTGGCTCCTCCTGACGGCTTAGGGCAGTAATTTACTGTTAATACCATCATACTTGCCTACCAATGTAGTCCTATTAAAGAGGTGAAACAATATAGCTTGACTAATTTGTACTGAGACATAAGCAAAGCCAAAGAAAAATATGCCGGTGCTAACACTGCAAGGCAAATATTGGGCAGTTGCTCAGGGTTATTTTAGAAGGAATGTGTGAAGCATCTGGAGACACTCGACCCACTTGCTTTCTTTCATGAGCTGCTGTCTTCAGGTGCTAAGCTTTGACCTAATGAAGAGGTGGTAGAAGAGACAGGAGTAGTGAGGACTAAGCTACCTTTTATGTGCACAACCTCCGTTATTGTGGCTATAGCTCCTAAAGTGCTTGTTCCTTCAGCACATTTAAAGAAGGGCCATACCTTTGTGTCTGCAGAAGAATACACAGTCATGTGCCACTCATCCCCGTAAAGGTGATGGGAGGGCTGCTGTTCAATATGTTTGTCTTGGATAACAAACTTTACTCCGCCGGAAATCAAACTCCAGATGCACAGATTGTGATCCATGACAGCTGAGATGCCCAGGTTCCTTTTCCAAATGCTTTCACACACCTCGCCTCAGCTATAAATTAAGAGAGGAGGATTAACAAACCAAGGGATTCTCAGTGCTTTCAGCGATTGGCAGGATGCTGATGGCTAGGAGGTGATGGCCAAGCTGTTGAAGCTCTTTTCAGATGTGAAAGAAGCTCTCCGACCGTAAAAAATGAAGAATGCTCACCAGAGTGCCCAGGGAGGGTGTGCAGCATCTCAATAACTTCCATGTTCCAGACTAGCATTGAGCCATGCTGGGAACCTGCCACTAGCAGCTGGTAATCAGAACTAAGTGCCATCACTGTGATGCCTGCTGCGAGACACAAAGAGGGAAATCTGTTCCTGATGCTGCAGACAAAAAAAGAAACAATTTGAGATTGTTAATATGCTGTGCTTCCCCAACTGGAAACGCCCAATACTGCCTGAACTCCTTAGTCTGTGCCAACAGCAAGATTAGGTTCCCTCAGACATATCTAGGTCAGTGTGTGCTTTTGTTGTCCTGGCGACAAAATGACCCACTTTCTCTATTCTCATTTGTTGAAGCAATTGCAAGTGGGACTGGTGCATGACTGAGCACAAAGGCAAATAGGCCTTTATTCTGCCTTTGTGTAAACTCATGGGCAAAATGGTATTTCTAGAGAAATACATACTGTCTCCCTGCTCTATTTATTTATACTACTATTATTTGGATCCCGTTCATAACGGATGATTATATGTTTTCTTGGGCTGTAGCCATCACCAGGGCTAATCTTACCTTTGAGGAATTCAGTGAGCCTTGTGTGGAGGGGCTGCCCAGGTAGGTGGAGAAATCCACACAACTGAATGAGAAGGGGTAGGGACAGATGCTGACCCAGCTGAGGTACTGCTGGCACAGCTTCCCAATCGCTTCCAAGTAAGAAGGCACAAAGAAAAGCAGCCTGGCCAGCACTTCTGTGTCTATTAGACTTGTCCAAAGAGGGCAGAGATGAAAATCATTTTAGAACATGAGTGTGGTGGTCCTGAGAGCTCCCGTCGTCGTGTTTTATGTGATGTACAGTTCATAATGATCTGAACTGGCCCTGCCCAGCCAGGTCCTTCAATAAGATAGAGAGGGCTACAGTGTAGAATGTGCATGAAAATAATGGAGTGACAGGACTGAGGAAGGAGTGTGAATTCTGAGAAGACAGAAGAGCAGTGCTGCAAAACCTGCTTTTCTAATTAGTGTTCAAGCTGCTCTCTCTGTGACAGAATAAAGCTGTATGTGAAGTACAGCTCACAAATGAAGCTACAGGCTTTGCTCCTGAGCACAGCAGTGTCACCACAGTGTAACAGCCTGCAAATTCATGGAGAGAGCACCTGGTGCATTTAGCAACTTCAGGACATTTCAGCTTATTTACCTGAAAAATCTGAGCTGACAAAGACTCGGCTCAGGCTGGAGGGCTGGTGAGGAAAAGGAACCATCTTTTCATGGAGCAGATCTTCATGTGTGTCTGAGCCGAAGCTCATGCTGCCCTCTGGACCTGCTGAGTTCCCAGTTGAGGCTGCTCTTTAGTTGGGAGGTGATTGATAGCAATGCCTACAGTAGCAGTGCCTGTCTCCAGACAGCTGTCTTGTCCCTTTTTTTTTTTTCTCCCTGGAAATCTTGGGGAAATTTCAGCTGTTTTGACAGGAGCAGTAGGAAGTGGTTGACTGCACTGAGATGCATTCTGGAGCATCTCTCTGTATTTGGAGAGGACTGCTATCTCTATAGCAACTGGTGCTTGTCACCTGGTAGAATCCCCAGGGTCTTTCCTGAGGGCAGATGTGCTCCATACCAGGCACTGTACACAGCTGAGGTGCCTTTGTTGGCTGCCTTTCTCTGTTCTCGGAATTCTCTCTGTATTTTAGATTTTTTTAGAGATTTTATTTAGTGGTGAGAACGTACCACTACTTGTTTCATAGAGTTTAGGCACTCAGGTATTTAAAGGAAGTTTCTTAACACCCAGGATCATGGCTGTTCCCTTTCACAGTTTCCCTTTGTCAAATGGTGTAGGCAGAGATAAGAAAATAGACCTCCCAAGGAGCTGAGTTCATCGGTTTCTCTTGAAGTCAGATTGAAGAGGCTGCTGTCTATCCCTGTCTGTATCCCCTCTGTTTCCCTCTGGCATACAGAGTAATAATTAAAGAAAAATTAGTAATGTGTGTTTATGTAACAGGCTCCTTTTGGACACAGTACTTGGCTGGATGTCTGTGAAGATTAATCAAGTAAGAAGAGATTTACCAACATCTTAATCTGTCATAAATCAAACAGGGAGATGAAGCCTCTTATTGCAAGAAACTAACATTACAGAAAGCCTTCATCTGGGTTTAGCCATCATCAGTCTCAATCTAAACTGTCAACTTCAGGAGTCTGAAGTGCATTTTTAGACTATTCTTCAAGCTTCTGTGATCAAAACCAGCGATGTAATGGAGGAAAATGTCAGCTCCATTAAGGTTGCTTAAAATATACCATGCTGGAGAGGTGACAGCAGACACAGTCTGGAGGATGAGGGCGATCAGTGCCATCCAGGCAAACCAAGACTGGAAGATAGCGACAGAGAAATATGTAATAATGCTTTTGTTCTATCAACATCAAAACAACACTGGAGCCTTGGGATGAGCCTTGGCAGCACTCTGCAATGTGCAGTTTGTACCTGTCGTAGTATTGATGACAGCAGTCCTCGCCACCAACAAATCCACTGATTCAAGCAGTTGGTTACAGTTGGAGCAGAAGTCCCCGGTTAGCAGACATTTTTGGAAAGTCGAGATTGCCAGCATCACTGAGAAGAATCGAGGTCTGGGCTAATTGGAGGAGAAACAGCTTGCTTGCTGTAGGAATGCAGCGTGTTACTTTCTGGTGAGCAGGGAGTTTCTGCAATTTGCAAATCAAAACCAAACAAAATCAACCAACCAAATCTTTTCCAGGGCCATTGTGAATTTCCTTAGGCTATAAAAACATTTAAGCCTCTAAACATATCAGACCTGTTTTCCTGCATTCCACGTCTACAGCTTACCTGTATCCTAAAGGTAAGATGAAATCACTATCTCATACTGATTCTTCCTAAAGGATTTCAGTTGCAGGCTCTCTAAAAATCCTCCCTGCATTCTCTTTCAGAACATAAAGGAAACAGATAAGTGTCAAGAAACCCTTAGTGGTACTTCTTCCTTGGAGAATGTGTGAAAAATGCAAATGCTGGGCACGTGTGAACGAGAGGCCAGACTCAAAGCTGTTCTTGAATGTTGATCTTAACACTGTCAGAGTGATAAACTTCTCTTTGTCAGAAATGTCGCCTCAGAGGTGAGGTGAGTAGCAGCTGTGAGTCACAGTGGCAGTGCAGGCTGGGGATGGGAACTTGTTTTCTCAGTGTTGGTGAGCTGCCATCCCCCACGGCCCCTCAGGCTGCTGTCTGCATGGGGCACGCCGGCAGGACTGAACTCAGCTGGGAGGTTTTGTGTGTGCCTACCGAGGGAGGGCTGCACTTCTGGTTTCTGTTGAAATCCAAACCCATTTTATTAGCTTTTCCTTACAGAAGAACACGAACACAAGTCCCTCCAGCTTGGCCTTCTGTTGGCCTTGCCCTTTTTCACACAAGATCTTTACGTAGAAGTTTTCTCCTTTGGTCTCACAGGTCCTTTACTGTTAATAATAATAATCTACATTTCCTACGGTTTTTTTTCATTATTATTATTTCTTTTCTACAAAGGCTTTAAGAGCAGTAGAGCTTTCCCTGTCTGTAGAGCTAATTTGCAATGCTGAAAGCTGTAGACGCTGGTTTGGCTTCTGTCTGCAAAAGAAAAGGGAAACCTGTCAATCAGCAAGAAATGCTGAGAGCAGCAAATGAAACACTTTGCTTTTTCCATTGGGCATCTACAGCCTCTCTCAGGATTAAATCTCTTGCTAAGTTTAGCTACGTCTCACTAGAGTTAGTATCAGGAGTTATCTGAAGGCAATGACGTCTGTCCTGTGGAAGTCTAAGCCCTGGCACGCACATCTCATACCCTGCGCTGCAGCAGCTTGGAGCTGGGAACATTCTGCACAGCATGGCACGCTTCAGACGTGGCAGGGTTTCTCAAAGCATTGAAATACATACTCTCAGCTGCCTGCTCTTTTTATTATTCTGTCCAAGTCCTGAGCAAAACTTGTTGAAATGGACGTCATGGGACAGCAGAACGGCTAAGCGATGTGAAACATTCTGCTGTTTTTTTGTTGTTGTTCTTACTATGTGTAAGACTTGCACAGACCCTCTTTTCTATTGGTATTAAATCTCGCATTCCAAAGGAACTTAAATTCTCAGCTGTTCTGGTAAGGAGTACTAATTAACATTTTCAGAGTTAGATTTGAGGAGACATAAGTGAAACCCATCAAAAATCAATAGCCCTTTGCAGGTCCTCATTGAGTCATCCAGGCAGGGAGCTCCTTTGCTCTTTGTGGCAGGGAAGCAAGTTAATTAACCTGCTGGGAAATGCCCAGCTAATGTTCTCCTTCCAGCTGGAGAGCCTTCAGGAAGCAGCAACAACAGGCAACTGAGAGCTTCCCAGATGCGTAGAAGCTGTACTGAACTCTGTGCCCCTACAGCATTAGTTAAAAAGAAGTTACCTCTGAAAGAAACATCTTTGCTAGCTGGAATGAAGAAGGCTTGCCTGAAATGTACCGTAGGTTACCAGTGCTGAGCCATGGAAATTCAAGAAAGGTTCCTTATCTCTCACTATAAAAGGCTCCACTAAATGAAAGTTGTGACCTCTCTTTGTGGCAGTTGTCTTCTTGATACTAATCACATTCCAGATAAAGAACCTTAAAGGTGCAGAGCTTTAATTTTAAGGTATCTCAGAATATTTCTCCTATCTGTTCTTACTTAGCAGCTATGATTTTACTTGACCAGGAGTACTTTGAAGAGCAAAGGCTTTGGCGCTCAGCAGCAGCTGATAGCAGCACTGTGCTTGAGCACGGAATGCTTGGACTAGAAAGGATCTCAAAGCCCACCTGGCCCCACGCCCTGCTGTGCATTGGTTGCCACTCACCAGGTGAGGCTGACCATTTCTCAAGCACGTCCAGGTCCCATTCATTCAAAGCATTTTTGGTGGTTTTTTTGTTTGTTTGTTTCTTTCTTTCTTTGTTTTAAATACAAATACTGAAACTCCATATAAATAAGCTAGAATTGTGTTTGTCTGCAGATTTATACATACCTGTCCCAAGTGATGACCTTCATTTTTTAGTCACAAAGGAAAGGTGGAGTCAACAGGTACAAAACGTTCCCCTTTGGCCTTTACAAGTTAGTTTCTTTATATCCCTCCCTGAAGTCTTAAAAAAGCTCCTTGGACAACAAGAGCAGTGATATTTTACCATACTGCTTCCGACTCTAACGTGCTCAGACATACTTGTAGGACATGTCAAAGTCCAACCAGAATCACTTTGTCCTTGGGTCAAGGAGGCTTCAACAAGATCAAGGAAGGTGTGACTTCTAAGACCGGCGACAGTAAAAGCAGCAAACATCAGTTCCTCAAATGCCATTGGACAATCAGAGTCACTTCACAATTTTTATTTTGTTAAGGGCTTTTATATAACAAATTTCCTCTTGAATCAGACATCTCATAAACCATTCTTTATATGCATGTCAGTGATACATCAGGCTTTTGTAGACCAGTATTTGCAAAACCAGACTGTTGTCAGGTAGAAGCTGTTTTCTTCTGAGGGAAACTCACAAAGTTAAGGCACTTTAAGAACCCAACCTACAAATCATTTGACCTCTTTCTGGCTTTTATCTGGTTGTATATAATAATTCTTTTTTCCAAAATTAATATCAGAGTTTCAATTCTGGAATAGGGACACACACAAAAAAAACCCAACAAAACAACAACCAAGCAATGACTGTTCTTAAATCCTTCAATTTCTATTCCTCATTGCAAGGTGACAGCAGCAAGCCTTATTGCTAGGGATGGTGACACCCTGCTTAGCTGAAAGCCCAGTACTACACCCCCAAGCATACTTTTAGCACTGCAGTGATCCTGGCCATCAGTGATAAAAACCCACCTCAGAATGAGTTAAGGTCTCCAGGGCACAATGCTTAAGATGACACTTTCAAGAACAAAATCTGTTACAGGAACAGCTTCAAACTAATCTAAAAGCCAGTATTCATTCAGCAGAACATGAACAAGCTGACTGACTGCTCCGAGCCATGCAAGGCATTTCACATTCTCCCTCCCTCATTGGGCACAGATCAGTAGTTTGGCAAAAAGGGACCTACAAAGCAAACTCTGTTTCTTAAGCTGGCGCTCTCTTATTAGTCCATTAAAGTACTTCTAATCAGCTGGTGTGAAATCTATTTCTTCAGCCTTTCTAACCTTTAAGAATATAAGAAACGTTTCCTCCTGCGTACAGTCAGTGTTCAGGCTGCCCACCAGCACACCAAAATCACCGCTTCAAGCACAGCCCAGACTTAGAAGTATCCAATTCTCCTGATGTAAAGATGCAAAGATTTAAAAAGCAGTTTCAGGTCCATTAATTAGGTGCCCTGACAGTTATAAATAAATAGTAATAAATACTTATTTACACTCACGTACCCTTCTTATATCCCACAGGATTACAAACAAACCAAAAACATGCTTCTTTCTCAAGTAAAGACAATCAGGTTTGAGGTGAAACACACAATTGCTAACAGAGCATCAACACTACAAAACAGTTTAAAATAATAACAGTACCAATAGATAGCATTTAAGAGCATTTTACAGCTTCAAGGGTCCTGCAAACAAAGTCTTAGTTAAGAAAGTGACCATTCATTAAGAATCAGAGGGAACTTGGATGAGAAAAATGTAATTTCAGAGTAGAATTTGGCCAGGACACCAGAGCTGTTTTCCTTATTGCATACAGAATATCATGTTATTTGGAGACATGGCAGATGCAGGAGCTGGGAAAAATAGATCAGGGTTGTAACAGACCATTTAATTTCCTCGAGCATGAAATCCAATTTCCACATTGATTGTGTCTAAACAGTTTGTTGTTCTGGGGGACATCAAAAAGGCCAATGAAAACTCACAGGAACAGTTGTGGGAGCACAAACCATACTTCCATTCATAAATAAACACAGTGAAAGATGATGCATCATAATTGCTGACATAATTGCCAGCTGGGAACTGGCACCCATTTATCATCCTGGCACAAATCTATAAATCCCTGAAAATATGATCAGAATAGAGAGATAGAGACCAAGAAGCAAGGAGCAGCACAGAGAGCACAACTGAAATTCAGGGAATTGCCTGGCAGTGTCTTCACTTCCACCTCTCCTCTGAAGTCCGTGAGAGGACTGGAGGATAAAGGAGACTGCAGGCGGCTTTGAGACACAGCTCTGGAGGAATTTTCTTGGCCTGTTTACTGTTTGGTTGCTTTTTTATTCAGCTTTTTTTGCTTTTCGTTTCCTTGTGCCTTCATTTAGCTCCTCTTTTGACTTCACAGGAGGAGGTGGCTGATAGGAAGCCTCGTGGGAGTGCCCATGCTGATTATGATGGCCGGTGTGTCCGCCAGAAACAGAGCCAAAGAAAACTGGGCAGATGAAGCCTTCCACTGGAGCAAAAGGTGAGGCGTGAGAATGAGTTGCCGTCATGAAAACCTGCCATGCAACAGTGGACAGAGTTAAAGACCACATACACCAGCTTTGAAGAACTAACTAGTAAAGGACATCCTACTTAGCACAGGTAAGTGTCCCTGTTGCTATGTAATCCAAGGCTGTATCACAAGGATCTTCTACCACACTGAAAATAACATGGAGAATTTAGCCTGCAATTTCTTAAGCTGATCTTTCCTGGTACGTACAGCCAGTGCCTTCCAAAGTGGCTTAGTAAGGTTATCAAATCTAGATGCAAGAATTAGTCCTAGTATCTCATTAATGCTCTGCAGAGTACTTCATTCTCAGCACTAGCTCTCCTGAAGATAACACTTCCAGGCTTTCATTTCATTGTGAAGTTAATCATGCAAGAATTCTGCATGGGCAAACACTGGCATCTACAAGGAAAATTAGGATCACCAGAACCCACTGAACAAGAAAGGAAGCAGCATTTCAAAGTCAGTGTTTCAATTTAAAATGGTGAACAGTCAGCCCCCTCTTAATTCTGTACCCTTTCTCTGGTTCTGTAGATTTGTTAGCAGCAGATCTGCTGTAAACTTACCTTGCAAACTATCATAAACATGGTGAAAAAGAAGATGAGGTTGGCTTCAGAGACAGGGAGCCAATGAGTTTGTTGCAAAGTGAAAAGAACTGTGCCATACAGACTGGCTTTTGTAGGGCTAGAAGAGAAATGAAGAACTTATCTAGAAGGTTTGTATACTTTGTGTCCAGTCCCGAATGGCTCTTCAAATTTCGTTTTCAGTCTGACTTAGAACATGCAGGCTAGTTACTTACAAAGACATGTGAAGAATTTCATTTGTTTCTGGCCTCCAGACCCCACGCAGCAGTTGCTCAAAATTAGACATCAAAGCAACACCAGAACCTGTGGAACAGTAAAAGCAAACAGCTAGAACTGCCACACCAGAAGAGAGCTCTGCTGGCTCCTTTAGATCCCCACAGGATAAGCACAATATAAAGGGAAGGTTTGTGACATCCACCCCAAAATTAAAATAAAGTTACCCTAAAACAACAGAGCAGGCAAATGCTTTCTAGAGCTCTATAGTGTTTCCTGATACTGGAAAAAGGCATTCGCCTCTGTTCCAGCAACTGATGCACAAATGCTTACTGCAATTACAAAACAAGGGGAAACTGACTGGACTGTTTCAACACTGAAAGAACTTCCTAAAAAGACACAGGCAAGGACAGAGACAGTAGAACATGGGAGATGATAAAGAGTTACTGAACTCTGCACCCGTAAATGACTCCCAGTTCTTCATGTCTCCGATGACTCAGTTGACAGCCATTCTGTGAGTATGAATAAATCTGTGTTCTAAGGAACGTGATTAACTGGGGCCAGCTGAACACATCCACTATCTGGCCTGGTCAGCACTGAGTGATGTGGTGACCTTAGGCTCCATTTGCAGGTTCTCCCCTCTCTCCCACAGCAGTAGGTGCAGTGGAGTATCCCAGGTGTCACCTTTGACCCATCCAGTGGCCATCATGATGAACCAGCCGTGGTGGTACTGGTGATGAGCATGGTGGACGCCGGCCGCAATTTTGCGAACTCTGACCACCTCCTTCATAGCCACAAAGATGAGCTTCACAGGCAGAAAGCTAACACACTTGTAGAAGAGGTTCATGGGGCAGAAGAATATCAAATACCTGGAACAAAACCACAAGGAGCTTAAGGACCCATTTGCTTATCTTGACCTGGGATTAAGAGAGAAGATAAAGAGTACTGTATAGTTAGCCTAAGTTATGTCAGAGAAAAGGAAATGCTGGTTAGGTCACCTACAAGCACCCAAAATGAAAGTGTCCCCAAATCTTCAGTCCGTGCCACCCTTCTGCTGTGTGCTGTCAGTGCAGCACGCTGATTCTGTGGTTTGGCCACAGTTCAGCTGTGGCAGCTATGAATAGAATCGTCCTGCAGGGAGTTGGTTCCCACTCCTATTACCAACACATCAGACAGCTGGTCAGAGAAACTGCAAACTAGATCTAGAAATACAAAAGACTCAGACTGCTTCATTGCACCTCTGCTTTCCCCAGCAAATCCAAACAAGACAGTACACGTGTCCCACAGATGGAATACCTCCCTTCATGCAGGGAGGTCCTGCACACAGCCAGCAGTATTGAGTGCTCGGCAGCTGAGGAGAACTCACCAGACTGCTGTGGCCAGGATGACACTGGAGTTGTTACTGAAGTAATGAATAGGTGACTCTCCGAGCAGCAGATCAGCGAGGATGTAACTTCCAAAGCAGTGGAGCATGGCACAAAGCCAGGAGGCAAAAGGACTCTTGCGAGACATCTCCACAGCTCCTGTGAGTAAATTTTAAGTGAGAAGGTGCATTCACCAAAGAGCTAAGAAAGACACTTGCTTTCAACATGCTCCAACAGGAATTGAGTCAAAGAAAAGGGCTTGTAAAATAAAATGGCCAAACACACACTCTGCAAAGCCTAAACAAGCATCAGATAGTTGAGACACGGTCTGTGCTCACAGCCTGCAGACCCCTACAAGGTTTCATATGAATGGAGCCCTTAGAAGTTTAGCTCCTGCGTTTGCTTCTCCTACTGCAATCAGAAAGAACAATTCTGCCCTCAAAATAAATGCTTTTTTTTTTAGTCTTAAAACAAAATGCATACTAGTACCATTCTCTCCATTGCTTCAACCTAGGTGCCCTCTAGAATTCATGAGCAATCTGTTCAGCTCTTGCATTCATAAGATAACCTGTAAAATAGAACAGTAATTCTTAATCTTTATATAAATGAAGGGGATTGGAGGATTCCTCACTGGTACTGCGGTGGTTTGCAAATACCCTTCAAGTTCAGAAAATACAACTAGGTATTTAAACTGTGTTACTGTTGGGGAATACAGTGTGGTTTCTTCCACACCCTCCCACTGCCTGGGGGTTTTGCTTGCTGTTTGATTCCTCTCCCATTTTCACCTCCTGCTGTGCTTCTTGGAGGAAGTTTCATAAGAACATCAGTTCTGTAACATTGTTTCATCTCCTTAAACTGATAGCAGGGTCCTTTGTGCAGTGTATCAGATACCAAACTCTGCTACACCAGTAAAGGGCAGATAAATAATGCTGAAATGTTACATCCACATTACGGACAGTCATCCACCTTCGGCAGCAGTAAGTGAGCTAAATAGGACTGCTGATACCATTCCATCCCCACCAACATCTGAACCAGCTGAAGGGACAGTGGAAGTGAGACAGCTGCAACAGCCATGATGTGAAGCTCATCTATAGGAACCCAACAGTTATCTGAAGGAGGAAAGTTATGGACATTTTTCTTCGGCTCCATTAAGCCTCGCTGTCTTCTAAGAAGGAAAGGGGACGTTACCACCCTGACCCTCATCTGCCATGTGGGAGCCAGGCGAGAAGCTCACTGCAGTCTTAGGCAGTCTGAGGGGATTATGGGGTGACATGTTTGGAAGAGAAAATATCTTCCCTGGGGTTGGCTGTTACTGCACGGCTCAGAACTTAATGCTGGAAGACAGCTGTAAGGGATCAGGCCTCAAAAACCCGGCACTCCTGTTTACAGGGAGCTGAAATAGAACAGTATGCTGCTGCTTGTACAGCGCAGCAATCTGACAACGGGGGGACTCCAAAACGTGGCACAGCGGGTGGCTTTGCCTCATCCGGCGGGCAGCAACACCGAAACCGATCGACAGAGCACAGAGAGCGCACACCGTGTAAAAACAGCGGGGAAGGCGGCGTTCGGCGGGGACCGAGGCACAGACAGGCGGCAGAGCCGGCGGCAGCCACCCGGGCACGGAGAGCTGCGAGCAGCGAAAGCGGGACAGAGGGGGGACGAACGAGGAACACAAGACGAGCGTTCAGCTGCGGCTTCTCCGAATATAAATAGGGGAGCGCGGCCACAGAAATAGAACAGGCGACAATGGAGAGAAACGGAACACCGAGCGCGGGCAGAGCAGCGGCGACGGGAGCTCGGCACGGGGCGGTCAGAACCCGGCACGGGCAGAAGGCGCGGCTGTGGCAGCTCCGGCGGATCCCCCCGCGCCCCGCAGCGCTGGTCCGCACTGACCTGGCTCGTACTTGAGGTAGAGGACGGACACGATGAAGTAAGCCGCGTCGAAGAGCGGGAAGACGGGCACCGAGGCGAAGGCGGCCGCCAGCTCGCCCAGCTGCAGAGCCCCGGGCAGCTCCATGGCCGTAGGACCGCTCAGCGAGCCGCGCTCCCCGCCGCTCTCCCCGCTCCCCGCCTCCGCACGGCCGCCCCGCCCCGCCCCGAGGGTTGTCCCGGGGCGCGGCCTACGCTCCTAGCGGGCGGCCTCGAGCTCCGGGCGGCGGCCCCTCAAGGAGCGGCGCTTCCCGCCCGCGCGGTTCCCCGCCGCGCCGTGCAGCCGCCGTCGGAAAGCAAAGCCGCAGCCCCAGGTTCGGCGCGGGCGCTTCGGAGCCGGCGGTGGGAGGCGCGCGCCGGGACCGCGCATGCGCCGCGACCGCGGGCAGAGTGCCCGCCTCTTCCGCTTCCGGCGCCAGGACTGCCGCCATGCTGGGCGATCTGCTGCTCTGCGGGTAGCGGGCCGGGCCCGGGGGCGGGGAGGGCTGCTGGGGACCGGCCGCGTCTGATGCGCTCTCTCTGTCTCTCCTCAGAACGCTGCTGGTGAACGCCGGCGCCGTGCTGAACTTCAGACTGTGAGCGGGGATCGGGGCGGGGAGGGCGGCGTAGGAGCCCCGGGAGCCCCGGGCCCGGCGCTTCGCGCGGTAACGGCGCTTCTGTTCCCGCAGGAGGAGGAGAGACACGGAGGGCTTCGGCGAGGGGGCGAGGGAGCCCACGACCGGTAACAGCCCGGGGGGAGGGGGGGGGAGGATTGGCGGCTGCGAGGCCTCGGGGCGGCGCCGGGCGGCTCTGCAGTGCCCTCCGTGCGTGAATTTTGTTCTCTGACTCTTTTTGTACGTCTGCGTTCCCTTATATTTCTTAGCTAGTGCTGAAACGCGACGCGCTGCGGCGTTGGGTATTTTTCAAGTCTAAGATTTCTCCTCTTGGCTTTTAGGTGACAATATCAGGGAGTTCTTGCTGAGTCTTAGGTATTTCCGAATCTTCATTGCCTTGTGGAATGTCTTCATGATGTTCTGCATGATTGTGTAAGTAGAGCCGTGCAGCACCTGGCATTTGTTCGTCTGAAGCCACATAATGTTGGTTTTTTCTTGTAAGTGTATTTCTTTTCTGATCTCTCTCCCAACTCCTCGCACTCTTGTTCCATCACTAGGCTCTCATTTTGCTCATCTGCTTTGATCTTCCTAAAAATAGTGGCTCACCTCATTTTCTGCCAGTGCAGGCACCTTTAGTGCATGAGAACCTCTTGACAGTGTGCAATTGTTTTAGGCTTGGATATGACATCATTTAATTCAGCGCCTATAAACGCAACACAGTGTGAACTTTAGGATGATTTTCATTTGGGGAGGGAAATAATGCCACATAATAAAGCGAGCCATGAGAACAGGCTCTGGAAACTCTGGATTGTAGTTCAGATAGGCAGACTGGCAAAATTCCTGTTTTCTTTTTGCTGCTGTAGCCCTTCGGCCCAATGTATGGCAGAGGAAAACCAATAGCAGCGGTGCAGTGGTGTTCTAAGCTGCAGTGCTGGTGTGGCTGTTATGCTATAGGTCTCTCATCTGCTCTTTTTCTGTTGCATCCACCAGGTTATTTGGATCTTGAAAGTCATCCACAAACACATCTGGTAACCTGGAAGAGACTTTTGGCTGCAAACCTAACTTTTCTATCAAGTAAAAGATTATAATGCTTTCCACATACAGCCCTGGGGTTGTGGCAGGTTCTTTCCATGGAGCAGCACAGCACACAGCTCCCCCCAACCCCCCCGGCTGCATAACGTGGGGGGAGTACAGGGCTGCGTGCTGCAGGGTGGGGAGCCTCCCAGCCCCTGAGCCAAAGGCTTCAAAGTAAAATAATTTCAACTTCACTGGGAGGAGAAAAAGGAAAAAAAAAAAAAAAAAAAAGCCAACTTGAAATTGTGTTGCTCAGCATTGGGTGCCTGATGTGCAGCGCATTGCAGCTGACTGAAAGCCACAGCCGTGCAGCTCTGCGCCGTCCTCGCTCCATCCCTGCTGTCACTGCACTGTGGGTCGCGTGGAAGTCACTTCATTATTGTGAAGCTGAGTAAAGTATTGATGTAACTGGAAAAAAGAAGTCATTTTCCCTCACAATTCCATTTTTCTTTGGAGAAGTAGATACGGACACCTCAAAAAAGGATTCTCACTTTTTTTCTCCCAATAAATTAATGTTTAGATACAAATTTCAATATAAGGTTTTTTTTCCTAAGCAATACATAAGGGACTTTGAACAGAAAAAATCTGTAATCCTGAGGAAGTTTTGGAATCATTTTGAATTTGGTTGAATAAAAGTTCTATTTAAGGGTAAATTTAATGTTGTGTTTATTCCAGTAAGGAGAAATTAATTCAATATTGGTGTTTTTTTGAGATATTTTAATTAGGTTGTAACTTCCAGTAACTTGCAAACCCAGGTTTTTGTGCTATTCTTTAATGTTAAATCAGTGTTTGGGCCGGTGACCTTCCCTAGTAATGAACGTAGAATACACGGATAAGAGAGTCCTTCAGCTGGGTTTGTGCTGCGCGGAAATACTTTAGGGCCCTTTAAATTTAACCTTAATTCACATCTTGCATGCGATTTCTGTGGTTTTTGTATTTCAGTCCATGTGTATTAGCAATAGTAGCGCTGCCCAGCGGGGCGGCCCCGTCCACAGCTCCGCGTTGCGGCTCTCCGTCCAAGAGTGGGGGCGGGGCGGGCGATGCCGGAGCCGCGCTGAGCTCCGGGCCGGCGGCTCCTTCGGGGGCACGGCCAGCTTTTCCCGCTGACGGCCGCCGTGCCGCACCGCGAGCCGAAAGCGATGTCGCAAAACAGCGCGCGGGGCGGAACCGCCGAGGAGCGGCCGCGTGAAGAGGCGCGGGTTGTTTCCGCGCCCTGTGAAGATGCGGACGGAGCCGCGCTCCCTTCCGCACCGCTCCGCTCGGGCTGCGGCCGCTCCGCCCCGTCCCGGCCCTCGCATCGCTCCGGACGCCCGTCGGCCGTTCCCTCCATAAGGCCGCCCCGGGGCACCGGCTCCGTTTAGACCGCGGCCGGAGGCAGAAGCGCAGCACGGCGGCGCTCCGGGTCCGGCCCCGCAGCGCTCCTTCAGTCCCCCGTCCGACCCCGCAGCGCCGCGCCACCACCCGCGCACGCGCGGCCACCCCGACCCCCCACCTCCCGTCACGGTGCCCGCCGCGCATGCGCAGTCCGCGTCTGCTGCTGCGTGCGGAGGGACGTCAGGGGCGCGCCGTGCGTAACGGCGTCGGGCGTGTCCCATGGTGCCCTGCGCGGGGCTGGCTCCTGCCCACAGTTGAGTTCGGCCCCGAGCGGAGCAGTCGGGCCCGGCCCGGTCGCGCCGCCGCGGTTCCTCCGCGACCCGCTCCGAGCGCCGCCGCCCCCGCTCCGCGGGGAGCGAACATGCGACTCCGGCTCCCCGAGGAGGCCGCCGCCGCCGGCGAGTGAGGAGCCGCCGCCCCGGCCCGGCCCGGCCCCGCCGCCCGCCCGCCCCGGCCGCGGCCGCCCCGCTTCGCCCAGGCAATGACAGCGGCTCCGGCCCCCTCCCCGCAGCAGATCAGGGACCGGCTGCTGCAGGCCATCGACCCGCAGAGCAACGTGAGTACGGCCCGCCGGGCCCGAGGCTCCCCGACTGGCGGCGCGGGGACGCTGAGCTCCGGCCGCCCTCCGGCCCCGCCGCCGCCTGCTAAGGGAACGCCGGGAGCCGCCGCCTCTTCTCCTGCCGGGACCGCGGCTCGACGCGTTCCAGCCCGGGCACCGGAAGCCTCCGCTGCGGGCGGTAGCGGGCAGCTCCCGGCTCCGTGCTGCCCCCGGTCCGGCTCCCGGCGGCTCCGCTCCGTCCACGGGGCTCGGCGGTTTCTTCCCGTTTCCCTTCGGGCCGTGTTCCCCCTTTCCCCTCCCCCACCCCTCGCCCCGCGCCGTCTCTCGGCGCCGTCCGGCTCTACCCGGCCATGCGGCGCGCGGCCCGGCGGCCTCCCCACGCCAGGCCGCGGCTCGGGTGCGGCCTGCAGGGGGCTCTGGGCCGGGCTGCGGAGCCTCGCGGGGCGCCCACCTGTTCCGCGGCCCCTCTGCCGCCTCCCGCCGCAGACATTGGGCCCGGGGCCGCCCCCGCGTTCGGGGGTCGCCCGGAGGGCTTCGAAGGTGGATCCGGGGCGCTGGAGCGGCTCCGGCTGCGGGCGGCCTCGGTCTTCGCTTTTATCCTTCCCTGCAGAGCGCTAATGAGCTTATCTGCTCCTTCTGGGATGTAGAGTAAGCACGGGAGTCGGCGTAGATTTTACCAGTAAGTGGTCTTCTGTGTGTAAGCTGTGGTTATCCAAAATGTTATTTACTCCTTTTAAGGTTTTTTGGCTTATTAAAGCAGCTCTTCACATCAGTGTTTATTATGGTGAGAGGGCTGCAGGGTCTGCAGTCTGCCAGATTTCTTCAGCCTTAGATCGACATCTGCATGGCAGCACTCAGAGCTGCGCTGCTCCCGGCCGTCTGCAGTCTGTCGTGGGGCAGCAGGGTGAGTCAGGCTGCAGTGTGCTGTGCTGCACCAGTGCTGCCAGGTGGGCTCTGGGTCCCATCACAGCTGTGCCTGCTTCTCTCTGAGCAAATATCTCCCGTAGCAGACTGGTGTTGGTGTTCTCAGAGTAGCTGATGAAGTTCTGGCCATTTGGAAGCATCCTGTAGCGCCGTGCAAGCGATGTGAAAACTGAAAGAAAAACCACCCTGTGACAACCTGCTGTGATACACGTTTGTCACGAGCTGCAGTGTTACCAGCTTGAGCAACAGTAATGAGTGATGATGGTGGGCTTTCAAATCTCACCATTGCTGGAGTTTGCAGTCCTTTAACTTGGTTGACACTGAAACATTGCTTCATGAGTTCTGTTTGCTCTGGGCCTTCTTCTTGTGGCCACAGATTTTTCATTTTACCTTGCTCTGAGCATCAGCCCAGTTAAACATAATTCTATTAGAGCTGTGGTTTCTTGTAACTTCAGACCTGCTGACTCTGGTTGCCCTGCTTCTGGGATTACTTTCTAAAACATTGTATCTGTGTAGGGTTAAGGACCTAAGAATTATGTTTTGTGATGAATGTGCTTTGTCCATATGCAGTGTCAGGTTGTGCTGTGGTGGTGGGACGGGGCAGCAGCTCTGCTGGGGAGGTCTGAGCATCAGGCAATGTTCTGCTGGGCAGCCAGGAGGTCAGTAGCCCCATAAGCTTAGCAGCAATGTATGTTAAATTATAATTCTACATACTTGATACTTATCCAGGGCAATAATTAGCGGCGGAAAAATCAGCCCATTGTTCAGAAATGCCTGTAGGCAGGGGGCTGTCTTCCATTTTAACCTCTTCTTTGAATGAGAGCAGCAGTGGTGGAGTTGAGGTTCAGCATACAGACTTGGACTTTTTTTCCAACACGTGGTGAACAGTAGATGGACAGACAGAACTATCTGCTGTGCTGTTTTTGTGAAGGGAAGAAAAACTTGAGTTTTGAACACCCTTAAAAGCAAACTGTAACTTAAATCTGACCCGATCTCCAATGCAGAAGTACAAGAAGCTGCTCTGTTGTCTTCCCACAGGATGCAGTCATGCAGCTCTGAGCTGCAGCACTTCTTGATGCTCAGGGAAAGTTGTGGCTGCTTTCTTCTGGCTTCTGGAGTCTTTTCTTGAAAGAAGTGGTTGCGTTCAAACTTAGAGCATTCATTATTGTGATTGACTTCCTTGTTTACTAAGAAAGAAGCTTTGAGGCCTGACTTTCTTTTGGACTTTTCGATGTAATTGTTGGTGTGGGTACATGTGTGTTTCTGGAGAGGAGAGGGGTGAAAACTGCACCAAATTCTTGCAGCAGAGGGATCTGTTTGGTGGGGCTGAGGAGGGGATGTGCTTCTCATCATGCTTTGCTGCGAGGTGCTGTTAACTTCAGCTTTGCTGATATCGTCCCCAACACAACCCGCTTCAGCCGTGTGGATATTCAGTCCAGCGGGCCTATGGAGGTCTTTGTGATATGAGCAAATCTTGGATAAGTCTGAGGTCCTGTCGGAGAAGGTCCCTTCCTGTGGTGAGTTTGACAGGATGGCTTTTCCTCAGGTTGTTGGAACCCATGTGCTTTCAGAAGCTGTTATCTATTCCAATTGTTGATCTGTTTTAATCTCTGCCTGAAGCCCTGCTCACTCCAGAGTGTTGCTTACACTGTACACACATTTAGCACTTGAGACCACTTCTAGTACTTGCTGCAGAATGTATGTATAACTTATTTTCACACACCTAGTTCACTATTTGTATGAGTAACCTCTATTTCAAAGGAGACCTTTAAGAAATAAGCTATCTTAAAAAAATTACATCATCTTGGAAGCCACCTGGGATGTCTGCTGTTATTTCTCCATTTATTCAGCCTTTTCCCCTTGAAAAAACATGGACAAACTACTTCTGCTCCATGACTTACAGCCTACATATCAGCACGGGGTCAGTGGGACGGGCCCAGCAGGGAGTTGGGTGTTGTACCCCCAGCAGGGCAGTGTGGCTCCTGCAGGGAAATCCTCCTCCTGGGAGCATTTCTTGGACACTGTAGCTGGAGAAGCATCTGACGGCCTCTTATAGCTGTGTGGGCTCTTAGGGGAGAGGGGTTCCTGGTTCTGGTAGAAGCAGTGCTTTTCTGTTTGGGTTCGCTGTGCTGAGAAGGCACCCGTTGTGCCCAGCTGAGCCCCTCTGCGGGGTGAAGGCACTCCGGCCCCATCAGGGAGTGTGGTGGGAGAGGCTGTTAGAACTGTGCTCACAATTAATGGGTCCTCAGCCTGAATGTGTAGCAACCTTTGTATTTGGAATATTAGACAATAATTTACTTACTTGCTGTTAATAGCGCTCTGAGGTGTGAGCCCAGCTCTGGTCTGAGGTCACCGCCTCTCGGATGCTCGCTGTGTGGGTCGGGCTGCCTGCAGACCAGGCTGCTGTGCACACTGAGCTTCATGGCTTTGCTGCTCGGCCTCCAGCAGAGGTCTGCAGTCCAAAACATTAATGATGAATTGGTCTGTGCACTGCGTTACGTTTGCCAGAGTTTTGGGTGATCTTCCAGTCTCATGGTTAGCGGTGCTTCCGTGCTGTTTTCTGGGTTGGTTGCTTTACTGAAGTCCAGGCACAAAAGCATCAGTGAGATCTGCTTTCTAGAGCTGATGTTAAAAGGAAGGGGAGCTTGTTCCAAATAGACAGTGCCAGACACAGCTCTAATAATATCAGTGCTGGGGGTGAAGGAGGGCAGCGCTTTGCTTTGGGAGGGTCTTGGTAATTTCTGGAGATGCAGGGAAGCGTTGTGTGGGCGAAAGTAGGCATGGCTTTTGCTTCAGCTTTATCCGTTTTTGTGAGGCCCTTAATGAGCTTATCAGTTTTGAGGAAGCTGTGGTGTGCAAAGAGGATGGAACCTGCTGTACCTCTCGTTGGTTTTTGTCTGCTTCTTGAGTGTTTCAATCAAATCCCAGCCCTGCTCTGTGCCTTGGTGGCTGATTGCTTCAGGTGTGTGGGGAAACTGCAGATGGCTGTGGTGTTTCTTAGCCTGGAGTCCTGGCTGCTGGGGGAGGTCAGGTGGCTGCAGGTAGGAGTCCTGCTGTGTTCACTGTGTTCTGCTTCTTAATGCTCTGTATTGTCAGCAGCTGAGTATCTTTCAACCCACTGGTTTAAGGGTGGTGATGCTGCTGGTTTTTCGGCCTCTCTCTCCTGTCTTACTGCTCATCTCGTTCCAAAACAGCTTGCAAATTAATTGGTAGTTTTCTTTTCGCTTGCTGGCTGTGTTGTGTCAGTGCCTGTGATGCTCATACAGATGCTGGGTTTAACTGCTCCGATGTGGTGCTTGCCTGGCCAGGAGGTTTGTAGCTGCTGGCAGAGCTGTGTTGCTCCTAGAGAGGAGTCTGCACTGTGCTCCATGCTGCAGTGAGACTTAGCGTCACTGAGCTGCAAAGGCAGAATCTGTGAAAAACAGAAGTAGTGGGGAGTTTGAGTTGGGAGGGTTGAAGATGTGGGGCTGCCAAATGAGCTTTCTGTTGCTAATTCCTTGGTGCTGTGCAGGTTGCAGTGTTGATGGCAGTAGTCATTTGCTTTTAAGCTGTAATTTGAGTGTTGGTTTCACGGTGATGTTAAATAATGCCTCTCCTTATTCCTGCTACGTGCATCCCTTCTGTGTGCTGGTGCAGCTGTCTGCAGAATCTGGCTGTGAGCTTGAACTGGGGAATCCATCTGGGTTGAAAAATGACAGAATAGTTTTTTCTGACAGATTCTGGTCTAGCTCAGCTGCCTGATGTACCTGATGCAATGTCTGCTCCTCGCGACACAGCAATGCCATAGGTATGGCAGCTCGGGTGGGTTGAAAGCACTTAAATAGGGACTGAGGCTAAAAAGCAGAGTGCTTCTTGCTTTCCTGTGCCTCCCCCCTGCCCTACGCTGGCTGGGGCTTCTGGGGCCCCGTGGGAGCTCACTGTGCTCACCTGTGCTGCTCGGGGTGGCTGTGGGAGCCTTACGGTCAGGTTTTGTTTCTCAGCCCCTTCCCATCCCTCTGTGTGCCTGCTGTTGCTGCAGCACAGCACTGGCAGCACCATTAGGAAAGGGGAAATAACTGCCGTAACGCTGCTTGTAACCACGAAGCAGTTGACTGAAGGGAAGAGGTGACTTTTTGTAGGTAGGATCAATGTCTGGAATCACCTCTTCCAGTCACCACGAAACACAGTGTGGGGAAAGCTGGTGTGTGGGGTGCTGTCTGCCCAGGTGTGCTGGCTGTGCTCACACCCCCTGGCTCTGAGCAGCCCATGCTGCTGCTTCCCAGTGCTCCAGCTGTGGGCAGCGGGGCCCCAGGAGCCTGGGCACACAGCAGGGGGTGGCAGTGCAGGAGGTGGGAGGGCAGTGTTTGCTGCCGCGTGCTCCGGGTGGGGGGAGCCACAACTGGTGTTGTGTAAGATGTGAAGACCCTCAGCTTAACCTGTGTTTCAGAAGTCCAGGCCTAGGATAGCAACAAGATTTGCCAGCTGTTACCATTCTACTGAGGGTGAGACTGCTTTAGGGTCTGCTGTGAGCTGCTGCATCTCCAGCACTTCTGGTACAGACCTGTGACGGCTGCTGCCCCGCGTCACCCCAAGCACAGCAGTGCTGCTTCACATGCTGTGCAGCTCCTGGGGAGCTCCCATCTCTGGGGGCTCTGCTCTTGTCCAGGGCTCTTTTTTTTTTCTTTCAGGAGCAATACGTGTCAGGGTAGAAAGAGAAGGAATTACTTCTGCCCACTGGGGAAATGTGGTACTAATTAAGAAGTGCTTCTTCTAAGCCATAGATATTATTATATAATGTTTGGAGTTAAAAACAAATATAAATATCATATTAAAAAAAAAAAAAAAAACCAAACACAACAACACACAGATGCCTGCTTCCACTGATAACGCTTCACTGCAGCCCTGAGAGGTCCGTGTTGTGCTCAGTGATAACTTGCAATGAACTTTCCCTGGTCTGTGTAACACGGTGTGCCGTGGCCCTGTGGGCACTTATCTTTGGGGAAATATTTTGGGTACAGGTAAGTATATCACACTCACTTTAATGTAATTGCAGGTTTGTTTATACAGTGTTCTCGTAGCTAAATTATTCTTTCTGCAGGTAATTCGTGCTTTTGGCGTTTGGAACAATATTGCAGGGCTAACAAACTGCTTTAATTTGAGGTGTGATCTGCTGAACATAACGCTGTGTTGGTGTTTGCTGGGGCCGCTTCCTTCGCTCTGGCTGCTGATGTCAAAGTGTTAAACAGCATCCAGCCTGGACCGTGGAAATCTATTGAGGGAATGCCTGGAAGTGAAATGTATTGAGGTGTGTTGTGCTGAACCACGCGCTTCTGTGCCGTGGCTGTTAGGGAGGAGAGGAATCCTACATCCGAGTCTGTCGGCAGCACTCGGTGACAATCTCAGCTTGGTGTATTTTGAAGCTTTTACTGCAGAGATGATTGTGCAGAGGTGGCAGTTGTGTCTGAGGGTGACAGCCAGCTCTTCGCTGCAGCTTCTTTCTAGCACACTTTCATGATACTTGCTCCTCAAGTGAGCTCTGTGTGCTGATCCTGCAGATCCGGACCTTTTGTCTGGGAGCACACACAGCTCTTCTGCTGCACCTTCACAGCTTTCTGAAACAAACCATCTCCAGCTCGCAGCTCTGGGTGGGCAGGGAAGGCTGAGTGCTGGAGGTGCTGTGAGGTGGGCTGTGTTGTTTTACCCAGAATTTGGTGAGCAATAATTCCAGGATCAATTGACTGCACTTTTTTTTGGCGTCTCCATTAAAGCTCTCTAATACACGCTGACGTAAGTTCTGTATTACTAGTTGCTGATGAGAGGGTAGTGAATTATTTTTCTGCAAACTTGATTTTAAAGCCTTCCCCGTTTGTGATGGTGCTCTTCCCAGGTTTGTGAACATGTGTGCCACACTCACTTTCTTGTGAGCACATCACTGTGCTCTGTAGTTGTGCAGCTGACAAGGGATGCTACATCGTTCTGCAGCCAGGGAGTGCCTTCATAGCAGGCCATGCTGGGATCTGTGTATTTGTGGGCTGCCATCCCACAAAAAATTCATCCAGATCCTTTAAAAATTCATCCCGAGTCCTTTATCATACAGACTGCTGCTTGTAATTACCTGTGTGCCTTTCTTTGGAAGCCAGGACTGACGAGGACTGGATTGAGTTGGCTGATAGGTGGAAGGGAGAGCAGGCGTTCCAGCATCTCCACTGCTGTGTTCTGTGCCCAGTCCTGGCTGTGCATAGGAGGGAGGGATGGATGTCTGGGAGCTGTGTGGTCCTCTGCCTCTGAAGTAACACCACTGATGTAAAACTTTCCTTCCAGGTTGCTCTGATCTGTGCTTGAACCCCAGTAATGTCTGCAGAAACTGATAGAGGCCTTATTTGAGTGTGCTGGTAGCACTCTGGTTATTCCTGATACATAATCAGTGTTTGTCTTGGGCCAAATCAGGTCAGCAAGCATGAGAACAATTGATGACCTTTTCTTTATGATGTCTATAATGCATGGAAAGGCTTTCTTCAAGCTCTGTTGTCTCCTACCTACTTTTTCCAATACAATATGAACTGAGCACTTAAACTTTTTCTTGTTGACCGTGTTTTCAACACCTCTTGTCACCACCATCCTCTGAACTCCTCTTTGTGTACATTCTTGAACTGTAGCACTTGAGATGAATGTGTGCTTCCACCCAAATTTGATTCCTATTCCATTCCTTATTGGAGTGGCTGAGTGAAGACCAGGACTTTCACCTTGCTGGTGGTACACCATGGCAGCCCCCACTGCTGTGCCCCCTCAGTCCACACAGTGCCTGTCTGGGTGAGCAGCATCTCACACAGCCTGCCTGTGCTTCTGCTGCAGGGCTTTTCAAATTGGCTCCAAGAATTTGCTCCCCTAAAAAGTTCTGCTCTGCTTCACGGTCTGGAGGTGTGGGGTGGTGGGTCTTTGGTTGTTTATTTTGGTGAGGAGAGGGAGAAAAGTAAGGGGAGTGTGTGTGTTGTGCTGCAGCCAGTGGGCATCCTTTGTGAGCAGTGGGAGCAGGGATAGACAGGGTGTGATTCTGTGTGCGGGCTGCAGTGCGAGTGGTGAAGTCAGTCTGCAGTTATTCCTGTTTGTTGTAATAAGAAAGCTGTTTGGTTACTGGTTAATAAGCATGAGTAGAGCAGTTTACAGTGCTGCCTTCGGTTGCCTTAAAGACCCCCCTGCTGGCACACTGCTGTGGCTCTCCTGGCTGTGCTCATCTTTCCACACCTTACTCACGTGCCACAAGGGATCAGGGCTGAGCTGCTGCCTTGCTCACATGGAGCACTTCAGGCCTGCCCACCCCTGGCAGTGCAGTGTTCTGCTGCGCTCTGACCTAACGCTGGTTTGATTCTGGCTTTGTGAGGCAGGGATGGGAAGGAATCTGGGTAGCGTTACCTGACCGTTGAATAAAAGCTAAGTGCAAGTAAAATGTATGCAGCCTGTTCAAACTTTCAGTTAGAGGTGGAAATTCTAAAGCTGGGGTAAGGCTGAGTGCCACACAGAGCCACGTGCTCACGAGCGAGGGCTGTTCCTTCTGCTGTTGTTCTGCAGCACAAATTGCTGATCAGTTTTCCAAGTGTGGACTCCCAGTGAATTTCTCTGTTGTAGAAGGTGCTCTCAGGGGACGTCTTCAACTCGTGCCTAAAGCATCTGTTCCTCCATTTTTAAGGGTCTCCTTCCCTAAATGCTATAGGAAGCTCTCCTCCACCATTAACTGTGTCTTTTGTATGCCAGGGAATGTTTGAATTCCATTCAGCAAACTGACTTTCAAACGTTTTCAGAAATTCTGACTGAAGTAGTGCATGGTGTGCAGTGTCACTTCTGTGAATAGCATCTCGTGTTCCCTATCTTTAGACAACTTCATGTCACGTTGGGGGTAGGGGAAACTGTTAATAGATTGGCTGCAAAGGAACTGATCTAAATACCAGCAGATCGTAACCTGAATTCTCACTCTGAGTGTTTGTGTCTTTGAATAAATGGCGTTACAGGTTGCTGTTTGTGTGGTGTGATGCTCACTTCTGCGTCCAGCACGTCCCTGTATGAGGTGCTAAATAAATACCATCCTGCTGCATTTCCCCTGCACCATTTAAATAAAACCTACTATGAACAGCAGCTCTTCTCTTCTTTATTCTTACTCCACACTTTGGATTATAATGCAGTGAAATAACTGTTACACAAGTGCAGTGTTGCGGGAAAGACTTGGTATTGATTGGAGGCTGCAGTCTGGGGCAGGATTGGTGCTTGGACACGAGCAAACTGCTGGAGAGCTTTGGAGAAGAGCGGGGAGGCCGTGGCTCTGTGGGAATGCTGCTGTCTTCCTGTCCATTTCAGCAGTGCTGGCCCTGTAGGGCGGTGTGTGGTGGCCTACAGGAAGATGCTGAGGGTTGTCTCTGCACAGGGCTGTGCGTGGGGCTGGCAGCGCATAGCGGGAGCAGCAGCCACGTGCAGCTCTGTGGGTTCTGTGCTGTGCAGGGAAGAGCCCAGCGCTGCCGGTCCTGCAGTGCATCCCCCTTGCCAGACCTGCTTTTGTCCTTCTTAAACCGCTGCATGGAGCTCACCTGTTGGTTATGGGATTGGTCTTAGCGTGTAACAGTAAAATAGGATTAAGATGGCAATTAAAGAGCAGAAATTCCACTGTTTGAAGCTTTCCACAGTTCAGAAACCCGTGCTGTTGTCTGAGACTGCGGTGAAAGCATTTACTGCTGAACTTGGAACAGATCTGACACAGCAGCAGCGAGCTCCAGCGGACGGCTGAGCGGCACAGGGAGACCTGCATGGAATAAATAAGATTTGTTTTCCGTGACTGTCATCAGGGTTGGCTGGAAAGGATTACTGGGGATGACTCGGAGCAGATGTTCCCCAGTAAACTTGGAGTGAATTAACCCGGACCAGTCAGCCTTCACCACACGGGAACAGCATGGGGTCATTTGGAATGCAGTGTGAATTATTTGTAGTTGTTTGCTGCCGGGTCCTGGGATTGCTTTGTGGGAGGCTTTGTTTTGGGGCAGCAGTGATGGGTTGCAGTGGAAGCAGACAAAGGCAAAATAGAAATGAAAGCAATGTGCAAGTTGGAGGCACGGAGTTGTGCAACTGTGCTCTTGCACGGTCTGCAGAGAGGTTGCCCAACTCCCCCTCCACTGTGCTGCTGCTTTGCCTGCTGTGTGCCAGTTAGCATTTCTAATAACTGTGTGTGAATAAATGCTCCTTCCTGCTGCTGCTCACAGTCGGGTGATGTCCTGACAGGTTTGGTCGCTTTGTGCTCCTGTCAGTTGTGTGACAGTGTGAGTGTTCTGAAGCCAGTAACTGATGCTCTAAGGGAAGGCCCTGCTGTGCGGTGTGGATGCGCTGCTGTTACCTCCGTAGGTGCCTTCGTCTTAAAAAGGTGGCACTTGAGGCCTTTGGGAGCTTCTGGCGGCCTTGTTTTTTCGTCACAGCATTCGACTGTACCACGAGAGATTTTGCTCTGTATTATTTTGAAATCTCTTTCTGTGCCAGTTCGGGTGAAGCACTCCAGAATGGCGACCCCAAACTTGTGGGGGAGGATGGAAGTTGTTGATGGAAGTTGTTGCTTTTCTTTTTGAGGGAGAGCCCGGCTTCGTGTCACTCAGAGCACGAGGAGAGCAGGAGCTCCTGCAGTGTTTGACTGTTGGCACTCCTTGCACTGAGCGCTTCAGCACAGCAGCGTTTCCCATTGGTTGCAGATGTGTGAAGAATCCCAAAAGGCGTCCTGTGCTGCCCTATTGCTGAGCTGTGGGCACAGGCTGTGGTGTGAGGCAGCTTCTGCTGTCAGAATTGGCACCATGTTGTGTCAGAGGAGGGAATGGAGCACCTATCAGACGTGGCGTGGGCCTGGGCTCTGGTTGGCGATGGAGGTTTGGGCACAATCATTGATATCTTGGTATTCTAAAACAAAGGCAAAGCAGTTACTGGAAATTCCCTGACCAATTTCATCTTGCTGTAGGTGTGTGTATACATGAGCGTATTGCTTTTCCCATCTTGACCTTTTGATAAGTCCCTTTTTTGCCATCAGTTTGTCATTGAGCTGCTATTTGGGGATTACCAGTAACTGTAGAACTGATTGTCCCGATTACTGACGTGTTCAATGCTCAGAGCCTTCCTGCACCCCTGTAACTCCTGTTCTGAAAGATGTGTTGAGAAAGAGAACATCATCAGCTGTCCTAAATGCTCTGATTCTAGAAGCTTTGGGGGAGCTGAATGGTGTCATGTGTCACTTAAAGTGCAGTCTTAAACCATCCTTTCTGGGCACTGAAGGAGTGCAAGGATCCACTCTTACAGTCAGTGCCCTGAAATGAAATTCTGAGTGCTGAAATACATCGTGTGCTGTTGCTGCTTTAAACCTTCAGAGGAGCATTCCCAGCCCTGAGCTGGGCGGTGGGGCTTCAGGTATCTGCAGGGGCATCCAAGAGAAATTCAGCTTTGGTCGGCAGTTGGTTTTACAACCTGAGTTCGGATCACTCAAAGCCTACATGGACTTTTAAAAAAAAAAAAAAAACAAAAAACTTTGGATAAAAAATGACTCAAAATCAGGGAAAGCATTTCATTGTTGGCAGCTTTATCCAAGGCGGTCCTGGTAAAGCCTGGGATTGGCAGAAGGATGGGGGTGGTGTGGAGGAGCTGAGCCCTGCACGCTTCCCCTCTCCTTACAAAGAAGGAGCTGGCAGTGCTGCGGGGTGCAGCTCTGGGATCCCCACAGAGGTTCTGTGGGAGATTTTCCACGGGTGCCGTTCGTGTCCAGTTGAGTCACAGTGCAGTTAAGCAGTAAATGAGGTTCAGTGATTCACGTTTTCCTCCTCTTATCATTTAAATCCATCTACAAAGGTGAGTTAGAAATTCCAGGCTTCAGTGCCGTTAGTGTCAGGTAATGGAAACGAGGATCTGAGTTCTGTCAGAACGTTTTAATATCACACGTGGGTCTGCAGATCTGCCTCTGCCGTGCACACAAATGTTGCAGTGAAGCCCATCAAAAATCTGCGATGTGCTTTGTTAATGTAAAATGGGTTTCTGACGTTCTCCTCGCTGCCTTACGGACTCGTGCGGTGCCATTCCTGCACCATGCAGCCTTTCAGGCTGCCGGAGCCGGGTGTCTGAGGACCCCTACCGGGCACAGCCTGCAGCGCTGCGTGGGGTTGGGGCAGTTTGTTCCTTGGTGTGACTGCAGGAACAATTTGAGCAGAACTAAACAAAAGAGACTTATGTAAGTGTAAGGCAGTGCTCAGAGCTGAATTCTGCGGTTCTGATTCCACTGGTTGCTCTGCTCAGTCCACTTGATGTTTAAGTTTCCTTTTAGGCTGTAGGACAAGTGACCGATGCCTTGACTGAGGGCTGAGAACTTTCCTGGTTAGCTCACTGATTTTTTTTTCTGCTATTTCATTTCGTTTTATGTAAGTGTGTGTTTGTTACAGCTCCTTCAGTTTCCAACTAGGTCAGCAAAGTGTCCTTGTCCCTATTTTTTGAACAGTCTGCTCCCTAAAGCTAGACAATGTGACAGCAGTTTTGTGATTAATGTTTCCAGCAATTATAAAGAGGAAGGTCTTAAATCACGTTTGATAACTGAGACCTGTACATGAAATGTGCAGTGACTTTGTCTTCCTTATTGCAGATCCATAACATGGTGGCAGTGCTGGAAGTGATCTCCAGCCTGGAGAAATACCCCATTACCAAAGAGGCACTTGAGGTACGTCACCATTTGAGCATCGCTTGATTTTCTTGTGTGAATAAAAGGACTTTCTCTGCCTGTCTGATTTCCATAAGAGCTTTCCTTGAAACAATGGATTGATTGCGGAGGATTCACGATGAAGGTGTTATCGTGTCCCTCTCATGCTGCTTCTGCCATCTCTGTGTGCAGCACTTCTCTCTGGGTTCAGCTCGGTGTGCTGTGCAGCCTGGTTCCCGTTTGTGTAAGGCTCTGTGTTAATCACGACTTGCTGCTTATCACGATGCTTCCTTTCGCTTATGGAACCATGTTGGGACATCTTAGGAAAGCTCATCTGTTGGCCTTTCAAGATAGGGAGCAAAGAGGGAGGAGGCAGAGGAGGAAGAGAGGACATAAATCACACTTTGATTTGTGCAGTGGAGATTTATATTTGCCTGTTACAGCAACATGTGGACAAGATTCTGGATTTTCAACGCTCACCTCTTTCTCGGGTCTCAGGTTCATTGTAATTCGTGCACTTTTTCCGCCCTGGATGCTGCAGTTCCCTCACGTCAGAGCTTTCACCTCTGTTCTCAAAATTCTTGTGGATTTAAAAATTCCTTTCTGATGTTTTCACAGCTGATGGCTCTGGTGCCTTAACCAGGGAGGAAGGAAGGGGTGGCTTAAAACCAGCAGTAGGTTTCGTGCTGTGTGGCACAGCATAGAACAAGAGGGGTTAACCCTTCCAAAAAGATTAATTCAGCTCTTGCATCTCTAGCATTTGTACTAGGCATTTCTTAGGGTAAGCATTTAAAAAGCAAGAATTTACCTTAAAAAAAGGAGTCAGAATTTTGTTTCGAATGATACTTGTTTATAAAACAACTTTTTTTTTTTTCTAGGAAACAAGGCTTGGGAGGCTTATCAATGAGGTGAGGAAGAAGACATCCAATGAGGAACTTGCCAAACGTGCCAAGAAATTGTTGCGGAATTGGCAAAAGTTGATAGAACCTGTGACCCCGAGCGAGGCGGTGCCAAGAGGGCTGCAGAATCCGCCCGGATCGGCCAACGGCGGTGCTCACAACTGCAAACCAGAAGCGCCCCTTCCTGCCGTGGCTGGGTCAAAACCCATCAGTGAATTGAAAAGCAGGAACGATATCCAGAAACTGAATTCTCCAAAACCAGAGAAATTGGGAAATCGGAAAAGGAAAGGTGAACACAGGGATGGGCATCAGGGCCCTCCTCCCCCGAAAGTCTCCAAAGTTAGTCATGAAATATTACAGAACTCTTCGCCCCCTCCAACAAACGGAATTGGAGGTAGTCCGGAGAATTTTCCTAGTCCTGTAGATGTAAATCTACATGCAGGGCCTGAAAGCAGCAGGACAGAACTTAGCGAAAATGATAAACACAATAAGATCCCAGTAAATGCTGTAAAACCTCACACCAGTTCTCCAGGACTCGTAAAACCTTCAAGCACTTCCTCCTTATTAAAGACTGCAGTGCTTCAGCAGCATGATAAATCGGAAGAAACCTCCGGGTCGCACCAACCCAAGAGTCCGCGCTGCTCCTCGTTTAGTCCCAGGAATGTCAGGCACGACGCGTTTGCGCGGCAGCACACCACGTACTCACCAAAGGATTCCATGCCTAGTCCATCTCAAAGGTCTCAGTTCTTAGACACTGCACAGGTGCCGTCACCGCCGCCATCCTTGATGCAACCATCAACACCTCCGATGCCAGCGAAAAGACTGGAGTTCTCTCAGCAGTCGGTGTCTGAGGTGTCCCAGCACTGGCAGGAGCAGCAGGCGCCTCCTGACAGCCAGCACAGGCACACAGCAGGGACGCTTCCGCAGCACACGTCTCCCGGTTGCAAAACCAGCTCCCACCCGGGGGAATCTCTCGTGTCGCACGTCGGCTTTTCGCAGGACGCTTCGAAAATGGACAGTGATGATGCTGCTTCAGGTTCAGATAGCAAAAAGAAGAAAAGGTACCGACCTAGAGACTATACAGTCAACTTGGATGGGCACGTGACAGAAGGGGGTGTGAAACCTGTGAGATTAAAAGAGAGAAAGCTCACTTTTGATCCCATGACAGGACAGATAAAACCTTTAACACCGAAAGATCCTTTGCAGGTAGAAATCCCTGCACTTACTGAACAGCACAGGACAGAAACGGAAAAGCAGGAGCAAAAACCCAACCTGCAAAGCCCCTTTGAACAAACGAACTGGAAAGAATTGTCCAGAAACGAAATAATTCAGTCATATTTAAACAGACAGAGTAGCTTGCTGTCTTCATCAGGAGTACAGACTCCAGGAGCTCACTACTTTATGTCTGAATATTTAAAGCAGGAGGAAAGCACTAGAAAAGAGGCTAGAAAGACTCACGTTCTAGCTCCTAACAGCAAACCTACAGACTTGCCTGGGGTCACGAGGGAGGTCACGAGTGATGATCTCAACAGAATACGTGAACATAACTGGCCAGGCGTGAACGGTTGTTATGATACACAGGGTAACTGGTATGATTGGACACAGTGCATATCTTTAGATCCACACGGGGATGATGGTAGATTGAACATCCTGCCTTACGTCTGCCTAGACTGAGTACAGGTTTGCTAAAATGCTTTTACGTTTGCAGTTAGCAAGAATGGCAGACACTATGCCACTTAAAGATGGAGAAAGCCTCCTGTCCTGGACAAATAGGCCCAACGAGCAGAGGGTGAGAGGGAGCTGCTTCTGTACAGCTCTTCCCTTTAAATTCTCCTTTTGTGAAATGCTGCTACCAGTTTACTAACAATTGCAAAGGAAGGCATACGAAGGTTGAGAAAACTGAGTTCAAAACTCTATAGCGAGCCAGCTATAAAAAAGTGTTAGTCCCCAAAAGCGAAGATGATTTCCAGCACTTTCTGAATGCCGGAATCTGACTACAGGCAGGTACAGAGAAAATTGTGGAAGTTACCTTAACAAAATATGCATCTATTTATTTGACTTGATTTGGGTTTTTATTTGGCAGTGAGATATTCAAGAGACGATGTGCAAAAACTGTAGTTTTATTTGTATCGCATCTCTGAACATGATTGTGTTTTTAAAGTCATGTGGTACGGAGATTGGGTTTTAAACAGCAGGTGTTGCACTGCAGGCTGGGAGACCAGCTTCAGCTCAACATTCCATGGGCATCCACATATTTCAGTCTGGTTTCAGTTTAAATCCAGTCTCTGAGAAATGCTGCAAAAACAGATGTTTAATGACATTTTGATCCCACCACCACCAGCCAAATATTTTTCCTCCTTTTCCCTTCCTGCAAACTTCTAGGAAAAAAAAATAAAAAAAAAATCACCTTTTCTAGAACTTAAATGTAACGAGGGTGCTACAAGTTCGTAACTGTACTGTGAGAGGGAAAAAGGAAGCCTGTTTGTATGCTGGAAATATACTTGTTACCATTCCTTTAGATATTGTTTGCCTTATGGATATCCATCATAAACGCAATTTGCAAAAACAAAGAGCCTTAGTGAATGTACAGTACCTAGACTTCTGTGTTCCTGGGATGCAGAAGGGAGCAACTTTGCTATTTGGTCCTTTAAGTGGACACATTGTGATATAAATGTGGAAATAAAAAAAATTTGCACAAAGCAGTTTGTGAATTATTTATACTGAACTAATTTATTTTTAAAAATCTGCTCAATTCAGACAAAGTAACAGAACCCATCGGAGCCCAGCGAGGCGCAGCCCAGCAGCGCTGCTGTCAGGGCGCAGAGATGTCTTCCAAGTGTGTTGGTGGCGTTTGGTCACACAGGTTGGATTGTTTTTAACTCTGGTTGCATCCAGGGGTGAGAGACTGATGACACAATTACTGTTAATGTACCTCAGAGTCTAAAAAATTGTTAGTTCATCTTGGTAATTTTGTAATATATTATTCCTAATTGTTAAAAAATATTTCTAAAGCAGCCTAATCCAGAATTCAGTATAGAAAGCTCAGAATTTCTATTACCTGTATTTGCTTTAACGTTTGGGACAAGCCGTTTTCTACAGTCCCCGCTGCTGGACTTCTGTCCAGGGAGGAGGGGAGGGGACTCCAGGGATACCAAAAAGGTGCTGAGGTTCAGTGCTGTTCGTTCTGTGAACTCATCTGTGCTGAGTCTCACTGCCGTGGTAAAAGTAGTTCTGCCTTTGAGAGCGGAGTCAAAGCTCTTCACCGTCAGAGTGTGATTTTAGAAGTGTTCCCCATGCGTTGCTTTGGTTTATTCCATGGAATGCAGCCGGTAACATTTGGGTTGTTTTTGTCATTCTTGTTAAAACCTGCCTTTGTGGTTTGACTGGGACTGCAATGGGGGCATCTCAGAAATCTTACTGGCGTTTGTTTGCTTCTGTTTCTGAAACCCGAGGACTGCGTGAAATCTAAAAAAAAAAAATGGTTACCAAAAATGTTTCCAAGTATATTTTCAGTTTACTTCCATTTTATCCTCTGCAGTTGATGAAATCAGGCAGTGTTTTTTAGAGTTGCAGAAAGTTGCTGTCAGGAAGGTAGCTGTGATGGCAGAGGGCTCAGAAGTTGCTCACGTTGGGAAATGTTTATTTTCTGTTTTATGTTTAAAAAGAAAAAAATTTTTTAAAAATGTGCATTTTATTCAAACCCTCCCCAACCCCTCCTCCCTCTTTCCCCAAATGGTCCTATTTAGGAACAGGGTCTGTGCCCTTTTGAGGCCTTTGAATGTGGGGCAAATTTCAGGAAATTACGAAGTACACTTTATAAAAACCATCCTTTACTTTCAGTTGCTTACATTTCTGCTGCAGTCGGTGGCCCGGAAGGTCGAGTGATGTCCTGAGTCCCTTGGCTGCTCTCCATAGCAAACCGGCCGTGCCGATGCTCGCTTTGCTTGAGGGAGCTCCACGTGCTGGACTCGGCCCTTCCCCCGGTGCTGCAGGATCTCCAGGGACATCACGTGATTTGCGGCGTGAGCTTTAACTCCCGTTTGCTTCTGCTGTGAGGGTCAGCTCGCTCGGATGTGATCTGGGGTGAGACGAGGCTCGACAATCTTTATTTCAGCATGCTTCTATAACCAGTTCTGTGAGCTCCAAAAAATGTGAATAAGTTTACAAGGTGATTTTTTTTGTCAATTTTGTAAACAAGTTCAAATGAAGTTTACCATGTGCATATCTGCTGTGTACTCTCATTTTTGCATGCTCAGTTTCTCTGCTCCTGGATTCTCCCGCTCTGCACGATTTATTCTTTTAAAGTCTAAAATGAACACCGCCCTCTGCAGCGAATGACACGGAATGGTTTTGGGAATCGCCGTTACCTCAGGTGCCTGTTTTCAGAGGTACATAAATGGCGTAGAAGCGTCTTTTGAAGGAGCGGATGGAGGATCGCCCTCCTCCCACGGGCTCTGTCCCTGCACCCCCAGCAGCTCCCTGAGGTGGTTTTAAAGGCCTCGAGGGCTCCTCTTCACTGCGCTCTGCTCGGGCCCGATTTGGCTCCGCTCTCAGGCGGTGCAGATCCGCACTGCTCTTAGGGCCGCTTCTGCGGCTCAGGAATCCCAGTCGGTGCGGTGTTTCGTACGCCGCGTCTCTCTCCGGTTCCTTCATCCCGGGCTGCGCCTGTGGGGCGGGACGGACGGGGCGCAGCGGCTGTCAGAACGGAGCACCGAGGCGGAGAGTTCCGGTCTGAGGTCGGCCCGTCCCCCAGCGACCAGAAGTGGACAGAGGAGCCGGAAGTGACGTGGAAGTGACGCAAGCGGAAGTGATGCACACACGCTCCACCGCCCCCTGTCGGCACCCGTAGCGCTGTGCCGGCGCTGAGCTCCGGCGCAGGTCCGCCCCAGGAAGCGACGCGTTGGCGGCGGTGACGTCCCGGGGGCGGCCGTGCGGCTCGGGCAGCCATGGCGGCGGCCCCGCTGGCGGCTCCGGGAGGAGGCGGGGCGGCGGCGGCAGCGGCGGGGGGGGCCGGGAGCCGGAGGGGCCGCGGGCCGGCGCTGCGGGAGGGCGCGCGGGTTTCGGCGCTGTGCTTGGCCTGGTACGGGCTGAGCGCCGGCGGGAACGTGGTCAACAAGCTGCTGCTCGGCGGCTTCCCCCGGCCCGTCACCGTCTCGCTCTTCCACATCCTGGGGCTGTGCGGACTCCTTCCGCCGCTGCTGCGCGCCTGGCGGGTCCCGCCGGCCGGCCCGGCCCAGCTGCCGCCCCGCGCCTACCCGCGCTACATCCTGCCGCTCGCCTTCGGCAAATACTTCGCCTCCGTCTCCGCGCACGTCTCGCTCTGGAGGGTCCCGGTCTCGTACGCGCACACGGGTGAGGCTCCGGGCGAAAGTGGGGGTGCGCGGGGCGGCGGTGCCGTCCCGTGGGGCGCAGCGGGAGCGCGGATCGGAGAACGGTTTGTGTTGGAGGGACCTGTAGAGACCTCCCGGTCCGACTCCCTGCCGTGAGTGGGGACAACCGCAGTTCCAGCGGGTGCTCGGGGCCTCCTCCTGCCTGACCCAGGCGTGCGGCACCCGGCGCTCCTCCGGGCAACTTGTGCCAGTGCTTCACCACCTTTTTTCCTCGTGTCCAGTCTAAATCTTCCCTCTTTTGGTTTGAAACCATCTCCCCTCGTCCGCGCCCATCGGGATGCCCCAAGGCTGCTTGCACTGCTGCCGCTGCCCCTGTTGTCACCTGAAGCCCGCTGTGTGCTCGCAGTGCTGCCTGCTGCCGTGTCTCCCATCAGCTGTGCCTGTAGGAGCCCAGTGCGGCACTGCGGGGTGCGCTGTGTGTTCATGTGGGTGCCCGGCGTGGTGCCCTGTCCCGGATGTGTGCTCACAGTGCTGCATGGCTGCCTGCTGCAGCACCCTGCGTCCTGGTGTGAGCTCACAGCAGTGCCTGCTGCAGGGTGGAGCACTGCATGCTGCCCTGTGATGGCACAGGGGTAAGGGGTGACCCCGTGTGGGCTGAGGTTGGGGTTTTGTGGGACTGAACCTGAGCCCCTCCATTCCCAGTGCTCACCTTCTGCTGATGGTGTTTAATGGAGTTGGCTTCGCATCCCCACCGAAATTTTCTTTCCCTTCTCAGTAAAAGCGACGATGCCAATATGGGTGGTTCTTCTTTCGCGGATCATTATGAAGGAGAAGCAGACGACGAAGGTGCGGACAGGTTTGCTGAGGTTTCTTCTCTTGCTGGTGTTCGTGGTGTGCTTTGCTCGCTGGGATCGGGGAGGTTTGGGTGAATGTTGTGACTAGGATTGCACCGGGTGGATTTGCCACGTTCTCTGTTCCTTTTGCAGGTGTACTTATCTCTTATTCCCATAATAACCGGTGTCCTGTTGGCCACGGTCACTGAGCTGTCCTTTGACATGTGGGGACTCATCAGTGCACTTGCTGCTACTCTGTGTTTTTCACTTCAGAATATCTTCTCAAAGAAGGTAACAGTTTTGCCGTTCTGTGATTCATTGGAATTTTTGGTTGTTTCTGTTGGCAGCTGATAGTGCTTCGCAGTACCAGTTCATTGTGTATCTTGCTGTGTCGTATCATTTCTTCATACTGAATGAGTCAGTATGAACACTGGGCACTCCTTGAAATCGTAGGAACAAAGAGACAAAGTTAAAAGGTGTGTCTTGAGTGTATTCCAAAATGAGTTCTGGTTTGTGGGACATCTTAATGTGGATGTTGTTAATCCTGGGAGAGTTGCAAGTCAAGAAACCACTTTTTCAAAGAGAAATCTGTTTTCTTTGGTCGTCCTCATTGGAAATTCACACCATTCATTTCCATGCTGTAACTGTCGGTTGCAGGAAGTTGTTATTATTACAGGGAGAACGGGGGGTGGTTGGGGCACAGCTGTAATGTGTCCTCCATCAGGTGTTGCGGGATTCCCGAATACATCATCTTCGGTTGCTGAACATCCTGGGGTGCCATGCTGTGTTCTTCATGATCCCAACGTGGGTTTTGGTTGATCTTTCTTCCTTCCTGGTAGAGAATGACTTGGTAAGTGTCGCTTTTGGGAAACTCTCGTCTATTAAGATAAAAGGGGAAAAAAAAGACGCAAAAAATGTTCTCTTAGGTAGTTCCTCATCAGTGTGGAAGGATCTGTTGTGAAATACCTGCAGATTGTTTCACAAAAACCACAGCCAATGAGTGTGGTGTTTCTCATTAGAATTAATGGTGGGGTGAGGAGTGGGAGCCGATGTGACAGCTGAAGTCCCAGGAAGTAGAGCTGGAGACAGGAGGACACGCAGCTGGAGCCCAGTGCTGTGTGCAGGAGATGCGTTATCAGAACTGGTAGCTGCGTGTTTGGTGCCTCTAGAGAAGTTGTAGATGTAGGCAGGGAAGAAGCAACTCGATTATTTCTGTTACTTTCTCTCAGGTTTCCAATAGGTGACAAATGTATGTAATTGTAACGTTTGTTGTTATGACAGAGCACAATGTCTCACTGGCCCTGGACCTTGATGCTGCTCATAATCAGTGGGTTCTGTAACTTCGCCCAGAACGTCATTGCCTTCAGTATTCTTAACCTGATCAGCCCACTGAGTTACTCTGTTGCGAACGCCACCAAAAGAATCATGGTGATCACTGTGTCCCTTATAATGCTTCGCAATCCAGTCACCAGCACCAACGTCCTTGGGATGATGACAGCTATCCTAGGGGTCTTCTTATACAACAAGGCAAGTTGTTCATCTGTTTCTTTGTTTATTCAGGGAACTCACCTGAACCACTCTGGTGGCTTTGAACTGTTTTGTAAAGCAAGTTAACAGCAGAACAGAAATGAAGAAGGTGTGACGTAGAACTTCATTGCATGGGAGTGCGTGGCTGAGTGCTCCATTGCTTGGGTCAGGCCAGCTGCTGGGTGTGACAGACTGAGATCTTAATATTGTATTGAAGAATGAGATTAGTATCTCGCTAAAATGCCTTGAGCAAAAGCAGCTTCGTGATTTGTCGTGTGAGGAGGAAGTGATTTTTATTAGGAGTCGCTCATTTGATCTCATAAATGTGGTGGTGTTTTCCCTATGTATATTTTGGGTGACACCTTAGAAAAACTTTCTTTCTTTCTTTCTCTCCTAGACAAAATACGATGCAAACCAAGAAGCGAAGAAGCAGCTCCTTCCAGTCACAACTGCAGACCTTGTGAACCTGGACCGGCACCGCAGCGCTCCGGAGAAGTCTCAGAATGGACTGACGGCGTTTGCCCCGCATGGAGACTATCAGTACGGCCAGCACAGCCGACAGAGCTGCCCGCCCGCCTACAACTTCAACCGTTTTGATATATAGAATCCTGACACGCAGGTAGAGACTGTGATATTAAAGTGTCCCCAGCATTATCAGAAACTTTTAGTACATCCGTGAATGTAAAGCCATTTTATTGTAAAGTTTTGCAGAAGGGAGGATGCATGTGTAGTGAAAGTGGTACAGACCTTCAGCTTCTGCTGAGCAGATCTTTCATTGTGAAGCAGCTGGATTGGACACCGGACCTGAATGCAGCGTAGCTCTCGTACAGGGATTCGGATGAAGTGCAGGTACAACATTTCAGAGCAAAGCATCTGCTGTCGCTGCTCCTTTTGGGAGCCTGTCAATCGGTTACTCTTTTGGCAGCTAAACCCTGGCCAGTACCTCGTTTCCACACTGATAGTGTCACTTTTAATTTGTTCTCTACTGTTTTAAGAATACTTACATGAAATTGTCAGGAAAAAAAGGGTGTAAAGCTGGTGATCAGGATTTGCCCGCTTGGGAGGATTGTGTCGGTTGTGGATAAGGAGCCTGGAGTTCATCTTGAGCAAATATGAAACTTCATGCGGGTGTTAATTACCTCCATGCCAATGCCTTCAGTTTTTGATGACAAACCAGAAGTATTTCTGAAAGAACAGACAGTAGAGATCCCTTCAAGCGACGCATTTAAAGCATAGAGAAACAGTTTTCTCTAAAATCATTGTTGTCCCAAACAGTGCAGATAGCAGAAATGGAGACTGAGATCATCGTTGTTTTCTCAGTAATGCAGCCCTGTAAACTCAGACATTTTTCTTCCTTGGCAGTGCAGGAAACCCCTGACAAATAAAGCATTTCTAATAATGCCTTTTTTTTTGCGTGCTTTACACCTCTTACAAATCTGTCTTTGGGTCAGGAATTGAAAGGCTTAAGGTATTTTTGTCTAAGTTTTAAGCATAAATTTTGCTCCCTAATATGATTCACATTGTAAGAATGCATGAACATGGTTAATAATTCTGCATTGTTTCTCAAATCCATCTTTTTGGCCCCTGATTGCGTTTTTAAGTTTCTTAATTAGTGGTGCTTGAGCTGCTGTGTGCGTTTTGTCTGACCTCTCCTTTCAGCTGGAAGAAGTGACACGTTGTATCCTTCTCTGTTCCTGCGACTCCCCTGGCTCAAATAGTAAATTCAGAAAGGAAATACTTAAATCAGCAGTAAGCATAGAATCTGTGGCTCATAAGAACTGATTCAGGTGGTATAAATGAAGACACCAGGTTCAAGACAAGTGGATTTCAGTGCATCAGGCGCCGCATTTGTGCACGGAAGGAATGAAACCAGTGGAGTTCTGGTTTCACTGAATCAGATTATTATTATTATTATTATTACTGTTACTTGAGGGGAAAAAAAAAAAAACAGGTTTTAGGGGCCTTCTTTTCTTAACAGAAAAGCTGTTGTACAGTGAGATTTTGATAGCATAAGTATTGTGTTTTTACTGGAGATTGTCGGGTAGCAGTGACAGAACTTACGGTGTGGTGCTGTACAAACACTCCTTCCGTTTATTTATTGCTTTAAAAATGGCCATTTCCGTGATGCGAAATGATGATTTGGCTCCTTTCTGGGTAATAAAGAATTTATTTTTAAGGGCAAAGTCAACCTGATCTTATTCTTTTGGCTGACTCTGGAGTTAGTTCTGCAGATTGCCTTCCAGGATACAGCCCAAAAGAGGAAATGGTTCTCCTGAAACTTCAGAGATGGTTTAAATATGCTGCTAATGTCTGCGGGCAGAACTTCTGGAGTTGCCTAGAGTTGGTTCAGCTCCTTCTAGCTTAGAACTTGGGCTTTTATTCTATAAAATGTGAATAAATTATTTCCTAACCCTGATTAACAGAAAAGGTTATGAGGAAAGGCATGATTTCATAGGAAATTGCTTTGCCTGTTCCAGTATTAATTTATGTGTTATTATTTCCTTTTACACGATGAAGTGCAAAATGTGTATTTTTAGGGCTCACTTCCCAATATTTAAGTGCTGTTACAAAAATAGAGAAAGAATCGTGTGGACTCTGGATTTGTGTTAGATTCTGGCTCTGCACAATTTCATTTGGTGTGTGAAACATTTAGGCTGGGATTTGTAAGGGGGACTGAATTGTTCAACCGCTTTCAAAGGGAGCCACCTGGAAGCTGTTCGCCTCCTGCAAATGCTCAGTTGTGTTCTTTGTGCTTCAGTTTCCCTACTTTGGAGGCATTGAGATACCAGCAAGGGGTCGCAGCGGGGCCCAAGGATGTACAGATGTGATGTGAGTTCATCTGTAAATTTCCTGGTATGTCTACTGCTGTAACAGGGTCATGCAGCTTGAAACTGCAAGTTGGAATAAAACTCCATGTACTGTATTCACAGATCAGAGATTTCATTACATACATTTTGAAGGCTTGCTTTGCTGAAGAATATAACCAGATCTGTTCTGCAGCTCTTGATGCGAAGCTTTCATGCATGCTCACTGTGGCAGGTCTTTAGATCAGCTTTTTCTATCAAGAGCATGGCAGCAGGGGGAGCTTCCTGCTGAAAATAACGACAGTTCCAAGTTGCAGTCTGTGCGTGTGCCCTCAGCACGTGTCTGAAACAAAATTACTGTACTCACAGAGTAGAAGGAGACCCAAAATGGGGCCCAACATGTGAATCTCTGGGCTTTTTCCCTGCAGCCTGCTCCACAGTATTTGCACCCTTCTAGTTCAGTTCTGTGGTCAACAGGAATAATTTGCATGGGGTACAATAGGTGATTAAAACGAGCGAGTGGCTCATTTGCAAGAGGTGGTTTTTCAGAGTGACCGAATCCAAGTCCTTGGGCAATATTGCCCACATTCTGATAAAGAGGTTTCTGATACTGTTGTATATGTATTTCAATCTTGGACTGCTGCAAGATTTTGTTTGGCAAGGTGAAACATTTGTTTTAACATGGTTTGTAAATTAATGACGTATTTAACTGTGTACATAGGTCTGTAGAAAGTGTGGAAACTGGAATAAAAAGGGCATATGGAGACCATCGTGTATAATGACCCAGTTCTTAAAGCAAAGAAGACTGCTTTGGTTTTCTTAGGTGAAACTTTGGGAGTGCAGTATGTGAGTTGTAGTGCTCACCTGTGAGAAATCAGATTGTTCTGCTCAAAGGGAGGGATACCTGGCTGGCTGTTTACGTAGGCAGAAGCTAGCATGATCTGGGTGCTGTAATTAGTGTCAGCATGTGAGCCACTGGTAGCCTTAGACATCCTACTGGGTTTTGTGTTGATAGCTCCTCAGAACAGGTGGTGCTCTGAAGATCTCCTGAAAGCGTTTTGCTTTCTGATTGCATTTTAGTGCCAGGTAGTGGTTAGAGCATCTTTATCAGCTGGGAAAATGCCTGGGTTTGTTCATTTGTTTTTTTGTTTTTAAACTACCTGAACATTAAATAAAATCCAGGCAATACATAGGCTTTGTAGGAGCACAGTGAAAATAACTGTTGGTAATTTGGGGTCAATTCATGATAATTCTGAAGCTCAATGCTTTTCTAATATGCGTTCAAAGCCACATTTTTCTGATGTAGCATTTTGCAGCAGAAGGGAGTTCTGCCATGTAGCCGTTTGTGAAACCACTGCAATATAAATACAGGGAAAGTTTTGTTTTTCTGAGGCTTCCATTTCTGAATCATGCTGTAAGCTGTCAAAAATAATTATCGGGTAACTTTGTAGTAATGGCACAAGATGATAAAACAAATTAATTGATCCTGAGATCATGGGTGTATGATACAACTGTGATACATAGCTACAGAAGTGCAGATACACAGGTGGCTGTCACCAGATGTCTTTGTTTTGTGTTGGTGCTCCATACTTTGATGTGAGTATGGGTGCTTTTACCAAAAAAAGTTCCTAAATCCTGGCAGTGTGAAATGTGGCACTTCAGCAAATGCACAGTTTTGTATTGTTTTCCTCTTCTCATTTTAACTCTGCTGTTCTGTGAAGCTCTGGATGGTACCTGGTTGGATTGCCTGTGCTGCTGCCCTCCAGCCTGTGGATATCGCAGCTGAAGCGAAGACCCCTGTGTGGGACTGGGGGAAGATCACACATCAGTGGCTCTCAGGGACAGTGACACTTCATAACCTACAATAAACCAGACGTCGAGATGCTTTTTGACTGACTGTCAGGTAACCTGAAGCGACTGCCTGAGCTCCGATGTGCAGAGCTGATAACGTTTTTGCTGGGCTGGAAGTACCAGTAGGGATTGTGAATGAGATTTTTAAATATGAGCTAAGACAGAACTTCATCCGATTTCTGGGATCAGTGTTTGTCTCCAGAACTGCAGGTAGAATCACAGGCAGACTTTGTGTCTGACGTTCTTTGTATCATTTGGATACATGAAAACATCCATCTTCTGAGTTTTTATATTCAGTAGCTAATACAGTGGGGCTTCATGGAATGTCTTGTTAAGAATAAAAAGTTCTGCCTTTCTGTGAGGACGTCTGTGAGTGTCGTGTGTGACTGGAGGTCCTGATATGGCCCTGGAAACGGGGAGCGATGGCAGCTCCTGAGCGCTGAAATGGCCGAAAGCCCCGGGAAGTGCGGGCCGCCCGTCTGGAGCTCTTCGAGCACTTCCAGCGACGCTGTGGCGGAGGGCTCCTGCCGCGCCTCGCACCTCCTGCCGGGCGGCAAAGCCGATCCGTCCGTCATCGCGTAGGATGCTCGAGTTCTTACTAACGCCGCTCTGAGGAGTATCAGGTGTAGAACCAATCTGATTTTAACTGCATAAAGAAATGAAGTCACTTGGAAAGTATCAGTGTTCAAGTATCGTACTTAAAAAGTATTACTTAAATGCCCCTTTATAGTGCAATTAAATGTCGGGTTTTATTGGTTCCGTGCTCAGCCGAGGGGCCGCTCGGGAGGCCCCGCCTCTCACGGCTTCCCGCCTCCGGCCGGGCCCCGTCACGTTCCCGCCCACTGCGTGCGGGATCTGAAGGGGGAGGGGTCGAGCGGCCGCACTGGTGCCGCGCCGCGGCCGTCTCCATGGAGATGCGGCCGTAAAGCGCGGCTGCGCGTGTCTCCGGGCGTCTCGCGGCACTTCCGGCCGCTGCGGCCTAGCGGCGGCGCCCCGTTGTCCCGCGGCCATGGAGATGCCGTTGCCGCCCGACGGTGAGCGCTGCCGGGGGGGCGAGCGGGAGCGGGCGGAGGGGCGGCGGGGCCGACGCGATCTGACAGAGCTGCCTCCTCACAGACCAGGAGCTGCGGAATGTCATCGACAAACTGGCGCAGTTCGTGGCGCGGAACGGGCCCGAGTTCGAGAAGATGACGATGGAGAAGCAGAAGGAGAACCCCAAATTCTCCTTCCTCTTCGGGGGCGACTTCTACGGCTACTACAAGTACAAGCTGGCCCTGGAGCAGCAGCAGCGTGAGTGGGGCTCTGCTCCCTTCCCGCGCGGCCGTTGCGGCCTTCCCCGCCCCCCCCTCCCTCTGGTTCGCCGCTCTGCCGCCCCCGGGCGTGGGCAGCGGGTTGCGGGTTGGTGGGCTGTGCTGGCTGTGAGCTGCAGCTCGGCTCCAGCAGGACGCCCTGGTCTGGCCAGCGGCTCCTGGCGGTGTCCAACTTGCGGTCAGCTACGACCCCCAGATCTCTTCCATCGGGGCTGCTCTCCAGTGCCATGGTCATGTGGTCATTTGGTATTAAATCGTTGTGTAAAGAGGGAAGGTCTGTTTTGGAACCAGCGTGGATTTCGTATACAGATACTTTAAGAGCTCACTTTGTCTCATAGTGTTGTGCAAGCAAAGTCAAGACATTGAGGCTCCTCCACAGATCCAGCCGCTGCCACAGCCGTCCCTCCCACCTGCTGCCCCTATCCCTGCTCCGCAGGGCACTCCTTCTGTGGAGGAACTCATCCAGCAGAGTCAGTGGAACCTGCAGCAGCAGGAGCAGCAGCTCCTTGCTATGAGACAGGTTGGTGTAAAATAAGCACTTGGCTGGCTTATCTTGGGCTGTAAGAAACTGGAGTGAAAGGAGAGAGGAAGGCTTGCTTCTGATTGGTGGTGGTGAGGTGGTGCCTTGGTGAGCGTGGGACGTTATTTTACTTATTTTTGTTCTGTTGTGGTTGCTTTCATCTGCTTAGAGCAGATTACCTGATGCCTTAGTAAGATTGATCCTTGATTAATTTATTTACTATATGGAAAGGCCTGCTGATTTGCTGAGTGAAATAAATTGTGACTGCTTTAATCTTCACTTAATGCTGCAGGATGCTGGGAACTGCAAGAAATTCCATCCTGTAGTACCTGAAGGCAGATTCTGATTGGGGGTGGGACGGCACTGTGTATTTGAACTAATGATTTTGTAGCCATTGAATCATTTACGTGTGGTCCACTTGCTTGTAAAAGGCCTTGCTGTTTGGGACAGCTGCTTTTGGTTAAGAGGCTATGAGGACTGGCATAGAGCAATTCAGTTCTCTAAAAGAGCATTGGATGCAATGTAATTCTATTAATTTTTTTTTTTCAGGAACAAGTCACTTCAGCAGTAGCCCTTGCAATAGAGCAACAAATGCAGAAAGTTTTGGAGGAAACTCAGTTAGATATGAATGAATTTGACAACTTGTTGCAGCCAATAATTGACACATGCACCAAAGATGCGATCTCAGTAAGTGATCTGAGTCTGGAGTTACTTGGTGATGTTATGGGTTAAGTACAGTTGGAATTTTCTGACTGTATAGAAAGCAGCAGCTTAATTACTGTTGGTAGGCAAGAAAATTACTGGAACGTTTCCTCTCTGGCAGTTATTTCAGAGTTGTAGGAAATCCTTACGATGTGAACGTGTTAGACTGACTTAAAATATTTAAAATCTTCTTTTCTAAGGCTGGAAAGAACTGGATGTTCAGTAATGCAAAATCTCCTGCACACTGTGAGCTGATGGCTGGGCACCTGCGAAATCGTATAACAGCTGAAGGAGCTCACTTTGAGCTTCGGCTGCATCTCATCTACTTAATCAATGATGTATTGCATCACTGGTAAGGATTAGATTGTGTTTTTCAGCTTCAGGTTTAGATTAATGTGGTGAAATCTCTCTGCTTATCGTGTTCTCAGTATGACTCTTCACCTTTTATTTTTAATGTATTTTTTATTTTTAGCCCATAGCTGATGCACAGAGCTGCTGTTTCAATAGTGGCATTCAGCTTTTACCTACTTTGTATGTTTTTATCTCATAGAAGGCTGTACTGTAAAAATGACGAGGAGGGACTTCTTTATTTCTGTGTATCCACTATTTTTGGTAGAGTGGGGAGGAATTGAATTATGGGGTTTTCCTGCTGTGGTGGAAGGCAATAACTCTTATCTTCCCTTTCTTTTTCTGAAGCCAACGGAAGCAAGCAAGAGATCTTCTGGCTGCTTTACAGAAGGTGGTTGTTCCTATCTATTGCACCAGCTTTTTAGCCGTGGAGGAAGATAAGCAACAGAAAATTGCCAGAGTGAGTGCCTGGTGTTGGTTTAACTTCATGCTTTGCTTTGCTAGGTTAATGCTAAGCAAATTATCGAAGGATGGAAGAAGACTGCTGAGAGTTTTCTAGTCTGGTTGTCTTCACAAAGCCTATCACAGGATGTGCTTTGAGTTTAAACCTTAATTTGAACAAGAACCTAAAAGTCCTTGCGATTTATCTAGAAGCTGCTGTAAGGATGAGTGTGTCCGAGTCTTCAGTGGCTCCAAATACAACTTGAAAATTGTAAATTTTACAAAACTGGAAACATAAAGAAAAAGATGAGGCACTTTTTTTTTTTTTTTTTTTTTTTTTAATTGTTAATCAATTCTGAACACCTCTCACTCTTGAATTTGTGCAGCTTCTTCAACTGTGGGAGAAAAATGGGTACTTTGATGAGTCAATTATTCAGCAGCTGCAGAGCCCAGCTCTTGGACTTGGCCAGTACCAGGTTAGAAACAAACGTAACACTTTTCTTATTTATGTACACATTTTGAAAACAAACTGTTTTAGATCCAGCACAAACTTTGTTCACAATTTCTCATCAGGCAAATTTGATCACTGAGTAC